CCCTTCATTTTTAATACTCAGCAAAAATAATTCATTGATGATATATTTTATTTTGTAATGTTTATATTTTGTTTTAGTTATTTTCTAGAAGTGAATCATATATTTTCAATATAATAACTGTAAATATATGCTGGCTTCATTCTAAATACTCATCAAATGTTCTGTTACTGCTAAATTTTCATATTTTGTATTATTTTCTAGAATAAGTGGATCAGTAAAGATGTAGTGTGAACAATTTTTTGATGTAATAACTGTTAACATTTGCTACCCTTTATTTTCAATACATTAATGTTCTATGTTATTTTGCAATGTTCATATTTTCTTCTAATTATTTTCTAGAAGAGAATCAGTAAAGATATAGTGATGGTTTTTTTGCATAATAACTATACAATTGCTCCCTTTTATTTCTAACATCAAAAATAATGAATAAATGATCTGTTAATTTTGAAATGTTTATATTTTGTTTTCATGACTTTCTAAGAGTGAAACAGTAATAATGAATTGTAATAAATTTGTGAATCAGGAATGCTGTCATGTATGAATTTTTCGAAAATACCTAATTATAAAATGTGCTTTCCTTTATTATTTTCACATCAAAACTGTAATAAATGAATGATATATGTTAGTTATAATTTGAATATTATGTTCAATGATATCTAATGAAGTAATCACAAATTTATCAGAAATTGTTGCATATAACATCATGTTACAGACTGGACTTTTCAAGCTTTCAAATAGTTTGATTTATATTGTAAGCATATGGCATTAGATAATACACCTGTAGTCATTAATAATCATTTTGATATATTCTTTATATTGCCATTTCTAGTAAATTATTAGGATAATAATATATAAATAAGGGTAATCAAAGAGTATTGCATTGAGGATAAGTTATCCTTATTCAAATATTGAGAACTTGAGCAAAATTAAATGCTATGGTATAAACATTTAAAACTCAAAGAAATGTGAGTGGTGCCTTAATTTTGAACAGGAGTATTATCATTTTGATATCAGAAAATGATCTGACATTCTTTATGTACTCCTTGATATCATTCACTTATTTTAATTTATAATAGTTAAATAACTCAGAATGGTCTTGATTCTTATTTTGCTTGTGAATAATCAAATGTGGCATTCCCATCCAGATACAAAATAATGTGTTGTTTATTCATATTAAAGAAAGCTTTGAACAATTTCTGTCCCAGAGGACTATTATTTGATAATCCAAAGTACCTATTGTATATTTTCATAGATGACTATGTCACAGATTAACAAACCTTATTGTTAATCTGTGACTATATATGTTATAGTTGATGAGTACAGAACAAAAATTAAATATTTTCAATATATTACTAGATTACATTTTTCATATATATGATACATATATATATTATTGAAATAATTCTTCAAATTATGATAGGTGGTAATTGAAATAGTAAGCTTATACTGCTTGCCTCTAGAAACTAATGCCCTCTCTCAGCATAACTTATCAATGAGTCCAAGCAGAAATGTTCTGACTGTTGGAGTTTTGGTATGGAAGTATACAAAATTGAGCAAAATCTTATGTAATATAAGTATTTATTCAAAATATAATGAAAATTATTACTGAACTACTCCCTTTGTATAACATCAATATGCCTGATATTAAAACTCTCATGCACACCATAATATCAAAATGTTCCTCCTGAACTGATGAACCTTTTCCACATACTTCAAATAGTCATTATAGCTTCCATTTCACTTACAGTAACAGCATCAAGAAGCCTCCAAATAATTTCATGCACACCAAGATCAGAATGTTCCTCCTAAACTGAACCTTTTCTACATACTTCAATAATAGTCATTAGCTTCGCTACCACTTTACAGTAACAGCATGGAAAATAAGCCTCCAGATTGAGAGTGTAGTTACATTAAAAAAAAATGAATCATGTAGATTAGGCCTACCACATATAACCTGAATCAGGTACTCAGCCTTTCCCTTCATTTCGGTAAATTAAAAGCCACAGAGTTGTTACATTGAGAATGAGAGGCTCCTGGTAAAGTTGTATTTTTATTTTTCATGTCGTCAATGGTGCTCAGTGGAGAATAAATATCAGATGAAAACTATTATTACTTGATCATTCTGCTGTAGAAACCTTGTGTACATTTTGTTCCATTATTTCCTGCTTTCTTCAACATGATATCAATTTGATTTTTTTTTCTGCATCGACATTATTCTCCTGATCAACATTAAATAAGAAACGTCAACGTCAACGCCACCAACAATAATTTGAATAATTCCTTAAAAAAATTTTCGCCGCCACTGTCGTTGGAGGCGAGATGTAAACAACGATTGTCATTTGTCATCTAAATGAAAAGACCTATACTCAGGAGGTTGTCAAACAAAACACTCTCACATTTATTCGTGGTTTCAATGAATATAACAATTAATGAAAAAACTTAACTTACCCTATATGTACACTATAGAAAGCTACTATTTCTGGGACCTTAGAGGAAGGGCATCTTCTGTTCTGCCCGAACTCCGACGGTTCGGGCACAGTGGCAAATGATTGAATGATCGAAATGATACCTGTGCTGGCTTCCTCGCGCCTTTTATATATCCAATCTATATTTTGGAAACGTGACAGTGAGGAAGTCAGGTGGATATTCCTGGTTCGTTGAAGTCAATGCCATGCCTCTGTTTATGTTCAACTACTAATCGAAAGTTCCTGGTTTAATAATTTTGGAAATAATAAACACAGACGTGACCGTTCAATGACTTCGAACCGATATAATTTTATAAGAATTTTGGAATTTGGCTTCAAATATCTCCTCATTTGTGACACTATTTTAATAATAATAATAATAATAAAGTTTATTCAGGTTCATCACAGGTGATTTACAGCATCAGTAATTGAAATCATAAAAGTTAAAAATGATTGCACAGGAAATAAACGAATCCCCACAAAAGTTTACTTGCTCGTGGGTATCATTGTATTTTCTTCGCGCAATGAAATTTATCCCTTAGTAACGTTTTTTTTTCTTTCTATAAAAATAATTTTCACGGTGATTTCTCACAATGATCGAAAAACAAGTTTCGCGATTCTGTAATTTCGCTATTAGTATTTCTTGACATTTATAATATCATGAATATCAGGTCTCGAGTTACTATGCAACCATCTAGTGAGTGCAGCCTTGAATTGTTTAATAGTGCGCTTTTTTTAAGTTCATTTGGAAGATGATTGGATACTCGTGGAGTTATATATGTTGTATAACATCGCTGCCCAATTACTTTTCGTTTTCTGGGCGCAACTGCTTGGTTTCCACAGCGAGTATTGAAGTTGTGCCTTTTTCCTTGATCGTTACTTCTATTTTTGAACCAGTTTAGTGCTAGTTGTTTTTAAAAAAGTTATCTAGCATCGAGGATTTTACTTTCTTGAAATAGAAGGTCAGTGGAATATGACCGAGGTTTGTTGAAAATAATTTTGACAATCCATTTCTGAGTTTTCTCCAAGACGTCCAGGTGACTATCCAATACTCCTCCCCAAGCAATAATGCCATAGCTTAAATGTGATTCAACTAAAGCTTTATATAGCATAAGTAGTCTATTCACATTGAGTAGTTTCTTGTAGGTTCGGAATTTGAATATTAGGAAACGAAGTTTTTTGTTCAAGAAATTTATATGTTGGTCCCACTTCAAATGTGAATCTAGGACCACTCCGAGATATTTGGTCGAGGAAGTTGAATTAATTCCCTGATTGCCAATATTCAGTTTATTGAAGTAAGGCAAGGTTGATTTATTAGAAGTAAATGGCATGAAGACTGTTTCATCTCAGTTTATAGACAGTTTTTTAGAAGCAAAAAATTCAGAAAATTTCTTAAGATCCTTTTCCGCAACTTCCTTGAGTCCAGTCCAGCTCTCCCCTTTGTAGAACTTCGCCATATCGTCTGCAAAACCAACTGCACTCCCACTAGTTGAAATATCGAAGATACTATTGATGTAGATGGTGAAAAGTAAGGGACCCAGAACAGTTCCTTGCGGTACGCCACACGTGACCGTTCTAAAACTACTTGGACTACCATCTACCTCAACGCATTGTTCCCTTTCCGAAAAATAGCTACTCATTAGTTTGATGCTTGTGTTTTTAAATCCCAGACAGTTTAAAATGTTCAGCATTTCCGAATGATTCACAGTATCAAATGATTTAGCAAGGTCGAAGAAGATGCACATAGCAGGTTTACTTTCATCAATTGCCTCATATATATATTCTGTTAAGTATGCTAGTGCATCTTGCGTCGACCTCCCTTCTTGAAAACCATATTGTCTGTTACTCATTATTCCGTGTTTGGAAAGATACTGGACAATGCGTTTTTTAAGTTTTGCCTGTGCAAAGGATGTGTCAACTTGACCACTCTATGTGGCTTCAACACATTTTTTTCTTGAATTCATTTAAACAGAAATGAACAAAATATTCCCACCTTGAACCAAAAAAACTTCTCGCCTGCGGCGCCATTTGTTCATGTTTTCATGAGGTTCTTCAATTGTCTCTCTCCGGGTCGACAAATTTCAAAAGGTGGCAAACCGTCCTTGATGTGATAATAGCCCTCGCTACGATCCAGCATTAGAGCCCCATGAAAAATATAAATTATAAATACCCATAAAATACTCATTTTAGCAAAGCTCCACTATGTCAGTTTATATGGTGTACTATAGGAACTGTAGGTACTGTACTGCACCTTGCAAAAAATCAGGATTTTGTGCAGAAGGTATTTTTTTGGTCTAGTGAATTAGGCAAAATAAAAAGTTCCATTTGTTAGAAAACGTCATTTACTTCCTTTTGCAGCTAAAACCTACTTAGGAATGATATCAATATCACAAATATTACATAACTTATAAAAAACAGTGTTGTCCGGTTAGTTAACTGTAACAATGAATAAAAAAATATATATTAAGTAATAATAACTGTACAACCAGTTAAGATCTGCGATGCTTAGAGAAGATTCTCCCAGTTGAGCAAAATTCATCTAGTCAATCTCTTCAAATTCCTCTTGCTTTGTTTTGAACATACAGAGTGCTGTTTGATTTTGGGAGGACTAGAAGGCTCAAGAATATCACAGGAATTGTTATTATTGTTGGCATTGTCGAACGGTAAAACTGGTAATAGTGATGTTCTGCATTGCAGCTTGTGAGATGGTGTCAATACTCTGTTATTATTCGACGATAAAGCTTTTATTCTGACCTGAAACGAAAAAGTTATGTTGTGCTGTTATATCGGAAAATTAAAATTAGAACTTGTGCCTCTATATAGGGTGTAACTAAATAAGTGTAAAACATTTGAGGGCTGATTCCTCATCGAAAAAAGATAGGAGCAGTAAAAAAGTTACAGTATTGAAATTAACTTGACATTTTCTACTACCAGAAAGATACTCAGCCAGTAATTTATTTGGTTTACCGTGTGGTTGTAAGGGGTGGTAAACAAAACCCCTAAATTTAATTTAAAATGTCACTTTTTGTCTCATCATTTGTTTACCATTTAAAAATTTATTCCTGATAGCCTGTTTCATTCTAAACAAAAATGCCCTTCGAATTTCTTGCCCAAAATAAACCAGTTCGCAGCAAAACATTATTTTACGAACAACTACAGAGATACATCGTCATAAATGCAAACTGGATTTATTGTTATTTTTTAGTTAGTAGTTATCTACCTCCTCGATTAAATGGTGAGGCATACGTTCAATCTTTAAGAGAAGTGCATCTCGTACTGCTGGAGGAAATCCCTTTGGACGTCAGAAGGGATATGCTTTTTATGCATGATGGGGCTTCCGCCCATTTAAGTCAAGTAGCACGTCAGCATTTGTCTGAAACATATGCAAATCAGTGGATAGGTCGAGGAGGACCACAGAATTGGCCCGCTCGATCCCCGGATCTCAATCCTCTCGATTTCTCTATACTTAGGGCCTTTTACAGCATTTGGTTTACCGTACTCCTGTTCACGATGTAGAGGACTTAACAGCATCGATGCGTGCAGGGTAGTAAGAGAGACTCTAAGAATAGCGAATATTTTAGCAATTACGTGGCTCAATGCGAAGACGTCTAGACACATGAGTAATGTCTGAAGTCTATATTGAACATTTACTATGTTTTCTACACACGAAAAGGTTCATCAACCATTCGCAGAACCGAGCCAAAGAGCTACTTAGCCTCAGCAAACCAGAGCTAAAGCTTATCACAGGCTTTCTCACAGGACACGGCCCTCTGAGGTACCACCTCAAAAAGATGGGCCTGGCGGAGACTGACACTTGCCGCTTTTGTAAAAATGCGACCGAAACCGCGGAACACATACTTTGCTCATGTGAAGTATTAGTCCGCCAAAGGCTGAACCACTTAGAGCAGGTCTATCTCACCCCTGCTGAGGTGGAAAATTCAACCGCCAGGAAAATTGTAGGCTTCATCAGAAGTCTAGGGTAAGAGGACCAAAACTAGATAAGGGTAATCACAATAGATCTTCTAGGTCGCAGTGATCGAGAGGTCTACCAGCCTATACGACCCATCTACAATCTACATGTTTTCAACATGTTGTATGTTTTGTTATCAATAAATCAGTTTTGTTTATTCCCCTTCAATCATTTAATGCAGGTAGTAACTACAAAATAACAATAAATCCAGTTTGCATTTATGACGATGTATCTCTGTAGTTGTTCGTGAAATAATGTTTTGCTGCGAACTGGTTTATTTTGGGCAAGAAATTCGAAGGGCATTTTTTGTTTAGAATGAAACAGGCTTTCGGGAATAAATTTTTAAATGGTAAACAAATGATAAGACAAAAAGTTACATTGGAAATAAAATTTAGGGGTTTTGTTTACCACCCCTTACAACCATGGGGTAAACCAAATAAATTACTGGCCAAGTGTCTTTTTGGTAGTAGAAAATATCAGGTTAATTTCAATACGGTAACTTTTTTAGTGCTTGTGAAAAAAATTGTTAAACAAGTTTTATGTACCCCCTTAAAGGGGCTGTATCTTAACATGGGATGCTCCAATGAAGTTTCTTTTAAGGCGGCTACTCACATACCTGCCGCAGGGACAATCTGGGGTGCAGCGTGATTGGGGCAATCTAGGAAGCGTCTCTACACACGTACCTGCCGTTCAGTGCGGCAGTGAACGTACCGCAGAACAGACTATCACTGAGTCATGAAGATGGTGCCAACACTTTCAAAAGATTGGCATTGCCCTGGCTGTTTCCGTGATGCCACAGAAGAAAAAAAGAAAAAGGAAGTACTGGATGAAGGATTGGTTACAGAAACGAAAATAATTGTGTCACATGAACGTTATGCATGTCTCTGTTAAATAAATTTTTGTTTTTCGTATCCCACATGTGGGGCCGGTCTTTATAGACTTCTATAACCCGCGTCCAAACTTATCGCTCTTGGTTGTTCTCGATTTTCATATTCTATCCACCTCAGCAAGCTAGACAATAAAAACGAACACTCCGCACGGCTTTCTCTTCAGAACTGAGTCGAAATTGGCCCAATCACGCTACACACGCAAGTTGTAGCAGGGCGGTTGGAGCCGATCTAGGAAGGTCTGGCGCGCCTGCCGCCCTGCAAAGGAGGCGATCTAGGAAATTGGCCCTGCTTGCCTACACACGTCACTATCTAGGAGGCAATTTAGGGTGAACCCCACTTTCACACCCTAGATTGCCCCTGCGGCAGGTGTGTGAGTAGCCGCCTTTATATGAAAGATCCTATCTTTTTTTCGATGAGGAATCACCCTCTTAAATGTTTTACACTTATTTAGTTACACCCTGTATTGGCAACCTCAATTTTCATATTTGTTTGTTTACAAAGAATGCATTTTCCTAAATATTTTGGCATATGGAATTTTGTTCCAGAATGCCATCACATTGTTGTACAATGCACAAAAAATGCAGGGAGAAAGATGGTTGAAAATTTTTAATTTGGACATCCAGATTAATCTGTTTATTTTTCTGATGGAATATTATATATTCAGTTTTATTGGATCGTAACCTAGTAAACTGGGCGTCAATGGGCGTGTACACCTTAGTAGAACTTTTAACTCAGACAATGTTTATAATAATCCTTTTATAGATAAATAATGATTGATGACATAATTCGATCAAAAAATTAACTGTAATATTTTATTTTTGGAAAATAGTACCTTCTGAAAACGGACCCTCATCTCGCCATAGTTAAAAGAAAATACCAAACGCCCGACGAAGACTGAGGCAACTGATATATAAATTCTTTCAACTGTGATCTCGAGCTAATTCACTCTGTCAGAAATCATGTATTATTCATCTCTGTCTGGAATAGTCTTGGTTCAGTTAGGGTTTTAACGTCACATCATCGCCTCGTTTTCAGAGGTCCGAAAAATCGGGGATTTCAAAATTTTTTTATAAAACGTAGGGAGCTCACAGAAAGAAACGGTTTGCGGTGATGAGCTAGTTTGGGTGAGTTCTATCGAAATAATTTTTTTTTGTGATATAAGCCCATTGAAACGTAAATAGTGAAATTTGGCATCAAGTTTGACTTCTCGTAATTTCTAAAATATTGAACGAATTTTGAACTGCCGCCCAGATTCTGAATGCCTTTTTCATCGTCTTTCGAACTCTTCTTTACAGCTTCTTCTAAATCGATCAGGACCCATGATACAGGGTGAAACAAAGTTTCGTGCATTTTGAAAACAAATTCTCCGCCCCCCCATTTTGTCGGAAGACAACGATGCTCATATTTTATTCGGGCATTTCATAAATAGCAACCATACCTCTGGACGTTTTCGAGTTTTTGCCAAAAACTACTGTGGTTTCCGGAAAAAAATTTTTTTGCATTTTTTTAATGGACTAATTTCAGTAATGGATGCTTTTATGCATTTCAGGAGAGCGTTGGAGCAGATATGTATACCAGGTTACTCAAAAACAATCAATAATTTATTACTTCGCAGTCTATGATAAAAGTTGTCTACCTTAGTGAGCAGTAGATCAACACATCTCATCAACAAAAACAAACAACGATACCTTGTTTCTATAACAACGTATTGTTGAAACAATGTAGGTATGCGTAGAGGTTATATCAATTGGCAATTTTCATTAAAACGTCAGTGTAATTCGGCTCCTAAAAAAATTAAAGATGCACTAAGGTAGGAAACTTTCAACATAGACTGCGAAGTAATAAATATTGTTGATTGTTTTTGAGTAACCTGGTAAACATATTTGCTCCAACGCTTTCCTGAAATGCATAAAAGCATTTATTTAGGGGACTCCTCAAAAATTAGTCCATTTAAAAAGAATGCAAAAAAAATTTTTCTTTTCGGAAACCACAGTAGTTTTTGGCAAAAACTCGAAAACGTCCCGAGGTATGGTTGCTATTTATGAAATGCCCGAATAAAATATGAGCATCGTGGTCTTCCGACAAAATGGGGGGGCGGAGAATTTTTTTTCAAAATGCACGAAACTTTGTTTTACCCTGTATCATTGGTCCTGATCAATTTAGAAGAAGCTGTAAGGAACGGTTCGAAAGACGATGAAAAAGGCATTCAGAATCTGGGCGGCAATTCAAAATTCGTTCAATATTTTAGAAATTACGAGAAGTCAAACTTGATGCCAAATTTCACTATCAACGTTTCATTTGACGCCCAGTTTATTTGTTCGAAAATTTTTATTATTGTATTCATGTTTGTTCTCTTAAAAAGCACTGATTAAAATACAATTTATCAATGACATTTGATCGATTACGTTGCGGTCTTATTTTGACAAGTATTCATAAACATGACAGTTTTTTACATTGTGAAAGTTTCTTTGATCAGTAAAGAGAAAATAAACTGTGAACACCCTATAGTTTGAAAGTTATGAGGTTTAGGGAATATGTTCATATGAACTTTTCTTCTTAAAATAAGCTAAGGAACCATATCCTATATTTCCAGCCACCAATTAAATTACACCTGGTATAATTAATATGAATTGATGGATGGATATAAATGAATAAAATCCAATAAATTGAAATGAAAAGTACAAGAGAAAAATAATCATCAAATATCCAATGGGACAAAACTAACATCACTAACGTAAATTTACATCTATCAAAATACCTACATATAGCTGGGAGCTCAAATATGTGTATATGTCGGCGTCAAACAGTGAAATCCGTCATTCTCTGGAATGCCTAGTCATTTCACGTATTGCCGGCAAACAACACCGAAAGTAAAGCACACAAAAAAGGTAACTCCACGGACAAGAAGAAAATAGACCAAAATAATAAACAAACAGTCATTAGTCATCAACAAGTGTGCGAAAGGATAAACCAGGGCGAGAATACATTGAAATTAAAAAAATACATTGACATAAATTCCAATAAGTCCGATAGAAATGTCAAACCAACATCGTCGGGATCATTCAGCACCACCACGTCAAACCAGCAACAAGGGCAGTGGAAGGAAGTGGTTGGAAGAAAGCGGAGACGCCAAATGATTGTCGGAAGTTATGATGGAGATTCTCGTGTAAACGGTGTCCCCAAACAGACTCATTTACATGTTTACAGAATCGATCCGCAGACTTCGACTAATGATCTAACAGAACTATTGGAAATGCACTTTCCTGAAGTGCAATGTGAAAGCATTACTCCCAAATACCCGATTATTTACAATTCTTTTAAAATCTCAATTTTCGAACTTAATTTTAGAAAAGCTATGAATCCTAAGATATGGCCCTTTGGGGCATGTGTACAACGTTTTTTCGAGTTTGTGAAAAAGGCATCAATCAAAACTTAGACAGCAATTCCTTTTCACCGAATCTTTTAGTTTTAAACATTGCTAGCATTAATCCGTACAAAATAAACGAACTTCATTGCGACAGGTATTTTTACAACAAATTGAACTATTTATGTTTGACTGAGATAAATGAAAAACCAGAACAGCAAATGTATACCAGGCTTCACTTTAGCAAGCTCATTTTGTAGGACAGACCACCAAAAAGGTGGTGTGGGCATTTGGGTTAGAGATTCTGAAATTTTCAAAGATTTATATCTAGCTAACCATTGCAAAGAAATGGATATTGAAGTATGTGGCATTTTTTGGAAAGACAATAACGAAAATTTCATTTTAATAAACTGTTACAGATCCCCCAGCGGGGACCTCAACATTTTTTGTGACGTATTGACAGAAATATTGGAGTCTATGTTTAAACCAAATATTCGCTTTATACTTGTAGGCGATTTCAATTGTGACGCGTACAGTAACTCAAAAGATTTCGTCAAATTGAACAATGTGCTGTCATGTTTTAACTTTTTACACAAAGTGAATTGGCCTACTCGGGTACAAGGAAACAGCCTTTCCACAATAGATAATATCTTTATTAATTTTCATAATGATGGAGTCACTGCTGTTTTTGATAATAATATATCTGACCACAGATATAATTTCTATGAAATTTCGGAGACTACTCAAAACACGCGAGACACTTCCTCGTCCCATACAAGAATATATGTTGATGAATCTCACAACAATTTCGAATCTGCACTCAGAAATGAAAACTGGAATTTAATTTATGGAATTAATGATATCGACCGTGCGTATGAAAGTTTTATGGGAATATTCTTTTATTATTTTGACATTAGTTATCCATTACGGCGGGTGTGTAGTAGACCTGACGTTAAAAAATGGATGGAAAAGGATGTCAGAATGTCTAGTTGTAAGCTGAAGGTTCTTTATTTATTGAAAAACAAATACCCGGTCCTGGCCGATTCTTACAGAGAATCAAAAAAACGTCATTTTCTGCTTTTGGAATTTAAAAAGAAACAATACTATCAAAATAGCATTCTCAACTCTGATGATCCTGGTAAAACTGCCTGGAAAGTAATATCCGGAATGAACAATAAAAACAAAACAAGACACCAAAATATCAATGTGTTCCACAATGATATAAAAGTGGAAAGCCCAGTTATTGTATCAGATTTGTTTAATAATTTTTTCAAAAATGCCCCTCTAGAGAACTTGAACAAAAGATTACCCAGTCAAATACTATAGTAAATAATACACAAATTCTTAAACCTTCTCTATTTCTCAGACCATTCTCACCTAATGAATTATTGTTTAATTTGCTCAATGATAGGCTGAAAAATAAAAAATCTGCAGGTCCAGATGAAATACCCACTTTCGTTTTAAAAAAAGTTTCAAATATTATAATTGGACCTTTGTCATTTTTATTAAATCTTTCATTTGAAACTGGAAAGTTTCCCAAAACCCTCAAGAAAGGGAAAGTCATTCCTATTTATAAAAAAAAATTGTCCCGATTACTTGGAAAATTATAGACCTATAACAATGTCAAGTAGTTTCTCGAAAGTTTTCGAATATGGATTTTTGGATAGGCTTATGAATTTTATCAATGAGCATAATATTTAGACAAATAGCCAGCACGGTTTTCGACCTGGTAAATCAACAAGCAGTGCAATTTATGAGTTCTACAACGATCTGATAAATTATATAGAAAAAGGAGAGGTCCCAGTGGACAATTTCTGTGACCTGAGCATTTGACTGTGTGGATCATATTCTTTTATCAAAATTGTATGACTATGGAATTAGAGGTGTCTGTCTGGAATGGTTAGAATAGATTAATAGAACAGAATAGATATTGATATAGGTGTTCCCCAAGGATCTGTGTTGGGCCCAGTTCTTTTTATTTTATACATTAATGAAATCGCAAACTCATTTCCTGATATTGAGATGACAATTTATGCAATTATGCAACTGATTTCCAACAAAAACCAAATCGTATTAAAAGAAAACTGTGAGACTGCTCTAGTCCAACTGACTTCCTGGTTCAATCGAATCATCCTCTATTTCAATTCAGACAAAAATAACCTCATAAAATTTCATAGTCATAAGAGGGAATTGATAGATGTAGATATTAATTTGAATAACACACCCTTACCTATGAATAACAGCTGTAAATTATTAGGAGTAATCATTGACTCACATTTAGATTGGAAAGAACATTGCAAGATCCTGATTTCCAAACTTTCATCACTCCACTATATGTTCAGAAATCTCAGTTGTTTTAACACAGCAACAACTGATAAATTTATACCACGCACAGGTGGAAAGTCGACTGAGGTATGATATTTGCCTATGGGGAGACTCTACACTGTCGAATAATGTCTTCGTCTCTCAAAAACAAATCATAAGGTGTATTGATGGTGTGAAAAAAGACTATTCTTGTAGAGAAATCTTCAAAAGATTTGAAATTCTCACTTGTGTAGGCATCTACGTATTTGAATTCTGTATTTTTGTGTTCAAAAATAGGGATTTGTTTTTCATTAATAATGATTTCCACGAATACAACACACGTCGTAAGGATGATTTACGAATACCACTCTTTGAACGCGATATTTCATATAAAGCTCCAGCTAGAATCGGCGCAAAGATTTTCAATAGCTTACCCTTCTCTATCAGAAGCTCAAAACATGAACGCACCTTCAAGAAAAATCTCAAGGAATATCTGGTTGAGAAATGTTTATATAGTTTAAATGAATCCTTTTAACTCCATATTTTAAACTGTAAATTGTAGTTTTCATGTACTCTTAGTATCATAAAGCTGAGTCAATATTTTGTCCATTTTTTTATATTATGTACCTAGATTGTGTAAACATGTTACATAGTTTTATTCAACTTGCAATGTTATTTTTTTATTATTGATTCATTTTATAAATACCTACCGTACTACCATGCGGTTCCATCCTGACTCTTTCTTATACAATTGTATGTTGTCTTAAAGAAATAAAGTGATTTGATTTTGATTCATTTTTAATCGATTTTTCAAAATTGCTTCCCTGCTTAGATATGAGAGTCAATATGTATGAGTACAGCCATTATTTTTGTATGAGCTTAACCTATTTTTCTCTGCAAGAACTAAGGTGAAGAAACTGAATGAATACAATGAAAGAAATCTACTCACCTCAGATGGAGACATGAACGATTTTGACAAATTTCTCTTCACGTTAAGTTTGGGAGTTGATGTTTCACTTCCAGGTGCAACCCCTGAAGTGTCGAATTTGTTAATGAGATTCAGATTTAACGACGAAGAAAAAAAGGAACTCGAAGTGTCAGTCACATAATCACTGGTAATGGACGAATTGCTTAAATCGCTAAAATGACACCTGCAAAAAAAAATGGTGATTTACCGAAACAAATTATGAGCAAAATAACTATGAATTCTGTTGCCTGTGATGGAAAATGTACACACACAGAAAATAAATATAGGTACCTTGCTTTTGGCATGTTCATAATTTGTGCATTATTACATATGTCTTTGAAATCCTTGGGATTGCTTGCAAAACTGCCACATTTCCTACAAAAAATGTAACCACATCTGAGCAAATCTTGACACTGCCCAATGTAATTTTCAACTACAGAAGCTTTGTTGCATCGGGGACATTTCGTGAGAGACTGATATTTATTCAATCCAGAGGCGATCTGAAATAGAAAAAAATGCACTGAAAAATCATTATTGCTATACAGGGTGAATTGTTCAAATTTGGTAATTTTGCAATCATCATGTGATGTTTTTTGTTTTCGAATTTTTTTTAAAGCTACGAATGTTTTTCTCAAAAACACGAATTTGATAATGAAAATGTGAACAAACCACTAATTATCGAGATATTTCACAAGGAAGTTCTAAATTCCACCTCCTTTTTCCGCCTCTCTTGGATATGCATCTACAGCTATCTACTTGCTCTTCTCATTTTGTCATTGGACACTTTTGCGAATAGTGCTTTGGAAAGAACGCCAAAAGTTTTGTTCAACAAGCGACAGATTATTTGAATTCGGAACTGGAACGTTCACAAACTATGGTTTTGAATTAGGAACGACGTTCATGAAAATGTTAGATTCAAGATCAATTAATGATCCCCATCGTGGAGCTCAGAAAACGGACACCCTGTATACAGGGTATAATTTAATTGATTGTCGAAAACTCAGGATATGGTTACTCAGCTTATTTAAAGATATGCCCTAAACCTCTCAACTTTCGTGCTATAGGGTGTTAAAATTTTTAAGAAAAACTTAGTTTTCTCATCATAACTTCAATACTGTTCTATACCTTTTCAACTTCAATTTCGGAATCGGTAAGTTATATTTCGGAAGAAGTAATCTTGATTTCAGAATTGGTTTGTTCGATTTCAGAAATGGTAAACTCAATTTCAGAATCAGTGAGATGATTTTCAGAAAAAGTCCATTCAATTTCAGAAATGGTAAGTTGTATTTCAGAATTGGTGGTTCAATTTCAGATAATAAATCCTTATATCTGTTTGAAATGTTTTCAATTGCAAAAGACAAAAAGAGAAGATTGTTTACAGTGGATGAAACGGTGTTTGAGAGCGTACGTTCGAAATGGGCATCCTGCAGATACCATAGTGGTATAAAGTTATGGATAATGCACCTGTACATTCAAGAATATATAGATATTTCCATGAAATTCGACATGCACCTACTAAGCACCCATAGGTGCTTAGTAGGTGCTTGGACTAGATTTTTCAAAAAAAAACATTGAATGTCCTTGCTTTTTCCAGAAATCAAAATCATTTCTGAAATCCTCATTCATTTTGCAACATTTTGACATCTCGGAATTTTTTCCCATCCGACACACCGTTTTCACGTTAAAACATAAAAACCATTTTAACAAACTCAAAACATATCTTACAAACTACCACAAGTTTGCAACAAGTTTTAACACAACGTCTAAGAATAAAATAAACTCTGAAACTATTCAATTCAATCATTACAAGAATTGTTGAAAATATCCTCCATCTGCTATTACAAGAATTGTTGAAAATGTCCTTCTGCTAGAATACAGGCTTCCATTCTCTATCTCATGGATTGGCGAACCCTTTCGAAAAATCCAGGAGTATTTCTTATGGTTTGGCAAGACAGTATGATTTGAGTTTTTCATATATTCACTGAACAATCATATCAGCTGACGGCCAATTCATTTCATGAAGGTCAAACGTCAACAGATTTCGCAAAAACATAAACTTTAATAAACGAATTTCTTCGTGAATGACGTTATAAACTTTATTTCAAATGATATTATCTTTCTCAATCTTTTTTCCACTTTAAGAGATTGAAACTAATTATTGTGTAACATGAATTTTCAGAAAAAAAAAGTTTTCTCATTTTTTCACGGTGAAAGTGAATTCATGCATATTTGACTTGTCTTGTCCTTGATACTTGAATGGCGGAATGGCCGTCAGCTGGTCTGATTGGTGACTGTTCACTAAATATGAAAAAATCGCAAAAATATTACATTTCTCGTCGATTTTTATATTCAAAATGTGTCATTGAAGTACATCGTTATATTATATAAATTATCCAATGATGAAAAAAAGAAGGTGAATAGTTCTAAATGCGTATCCAATACAGGCGGGAAAATAAGGTGAAATTTCAAATTTTTCGTGAAATATCCCGATAGATAATGGTTTGTTCACATTTTCATTATCTAACTCTTGATTTTCAGACAAAAATACGTAGGTAATAAGAAAATGTTTTGCAAGAAATCCATCGTATGATAAGTGCAAAATCACTCAACATTTTTCGGGATTTTAAAGAGAAACTTCTCTTTTTGTGAATTTTGAAAGCGTCAAAACAAAAATTTCCAAATCTGAATAAACCGGGTATTAGAAAGAATCCATTATGTGAAATGAAATAGATGAAAAAAAATATACATGATGCGGCCTTGACGGTGACACCCTGAGAGTACACACGGTGGCATTTTGAAAACTTTCGTCTTCCTTCCATTAAATAATATGAAAAATCGAAAAACACTCAAAATGAATATTTTCAGCCCTCTTAGTTCAACCCCCTTGGAGGGGGGTCGAATGGCACATTATTTTGTAGGGCTTTCAATTCTCTTTCCAACAGTACCCTAGTTTATCATTTTTGATGAACAGTTTCCAAAAAAAGACGTTCTAAATTAACAGAAGTATATAAAACAAGCCTGAACTGAGATGCATGGTTCTCAGGATAGTATTATTGCATTGACTCTCCTTTGAGTCCAAAATATTCAACCACAGTTGAAAGAATTAATATATCAGTTGCCTCCGTCGGGTGTTTGGTATTTTCTTTTAACTATGGCGAGATGAGGTTTCTACGTCATGAGAGGGTCCGTTTTCAGAAGGTACTATTATTTATGTCCAAAAATAAAATATTTCAGTTAATTTTTTGATCGAATTATGTCGTCAATCATTATTTATGCATAAAAGGATCATTATAAACATGGTTTGAGTTGAAAGTTCTACTAAGGTGTACACGCCCATTACTTCTGTGAGTTTAGAACTGAATTTTTTGGAAACTGCTCATCAACAAATGATATACTGGGGTAGTGTTGGAAATGGAATTGAACGCCCTTCAAAATAATGTGCATCTTGACCCCCCTTTTGATATAAGGTTCTAAGAGTAACATCTCTCCCTCCTAGAAAGTTGAACTAGGAGGGCAAAAAATAGGCATTTTAATTGACTTCCTTGAAAATGAAATTGACGTGTCTTCTCAATTTTCCATATCGTTTGTTGGAAGGAAAATATCAAGGATGGGAAGTTTTCTAATTGACACGGCATTTTTCGGAAACTGCTCAACAGAAAATGATAAACTAAAGTATCGTTGGAATGGGAATATAACGTCCTTCAAAATGATGCGCCATTTGAGCCCACTTCCCATTTGACATTCTAAGGGTAACATCTACCCGTCCTAGGGGGTTGAACTAGAAGGGTTTAATCCTCGGTTTAATCTAATTAGTCTGAGGTTCCTCCTTGGAAATAAAATCGACCTGTTTTCGATTTTTCATATTATTTACTGAAGAAGATATTGAGGGTGGGAAATTTTCCAAATGTCACCCTATATTTAAAAAATTTCACAAACTATAAGATTTCAACAAAATTTTAATCACACGACATGTTTCTCTAACACAGTAGCTTCTTCAGGTGAATAACTGGTAAAATAAAATAAACTAAGCTTACATTGGCTTGCCTAACTTTTATATCCTACTTCCCCAAACTGAAGGATTAGGATGGGGTTGTAAACACTAGTCGAATGTACGCCACATACCTATATTATATTGATCATTCCTTGTATAAATAGTCATTCGTTATTTAAAATCATCGCAAATATTTTTTTTCAATAATGGGCGAGTGGACTCATGATGAGATATTGGCATTCAATTAATCAACTGTGTCGTTAGGGACCTGAATTGATTTTTGCAACCCTTCTCACACTTTTTTTATGCAAATAATGAGTGTATGCGTTGTTCGAAATTGTTGAATTTCGAAGCTCATTTCAAACGCACCGTCATGGCCACCATTTAGCCATACGTTGAATGAATGGTGACGTCAGCTTTTATGCTGTTTCGTTATTGGTCAGAAAATCTTCCATTCCCACTCACGAAGCAAGGTTGTCAAGTCACCAATCATAATCAAGTTATCAAAAAGATGTAAGAGTCATGTCATTGAATAAAACATAATACGAGGAACCCATGATATTATAGTTCATTGCTCACTTTTTCGAGCAACCAGCATGTCCAAATATTTCTTATACTCCATAAAAAAATATCAAGTAAATGTTGGAGACTTGGCAACATTGTGCTGAATGGTGAGAAGGGACAAGACCACGCCCACTAGTCGTGCGCGCCGTGTTGTCACGTTCACCGCTTCAAATATCCTTTAGGATGAATTAATATAATTAGTAAATATTTACACAAATGAATTTTGAATAACTAATATTCCTGAAATTCCCAATCGTATTTCAACTCGCGGCAAATTTCTATCCGTTTGAAAACTGCCGTGGCATTATTGATGATTTTAGCACTTAAAAATCGACCGAGAAATTTTAAAAAAATATGTAATTGAAAGGTACTTGACTGATGATTCTATTTAAGAATTGAAAAAATATATATTCCACTCGCCTATTAAATTCAGCGACGTCAAAAAACGCCATGACCACTTATTTCGAGCCAGATTTGTAACTAGTAACTACCTTATGAGATTCAATATCACCAATGACAAAAGTAACCACCATTCACAGAAGACATTAGTTTGACCCGGTCCCTAATAATCACTTATTGAATACTTCGCCTAAGTTCCCAGAAATAGAAAAATAGAAGAAGACAAACTGCATTGACAACCTAACATCCTGACGTCAATATCGGCTGTCACCTTCATCGTCATATTCTTGTTTCATCTAGTCAAAATGCGAATATTCAAAGTTAAGCCTCATATTATCTGATTCTTCAGTTGTGTGTTGTGCACCCTGTTACCTGCAGTAAGTATTCAATCCAGAATCATTCCATATTCTGATTGAATTGACAATCAGAAATATTCTTGCACTTGTCTATCAGAAATAGACAATCGATTTGTAAGTCGTATCTTATTATGAACTATCATGACTCAGTAATTATTTGAAAAAGTTATAGAGCTCTGAGGGAAAAACGGTTAACAACAGTGAACTAGTTAGGGTTAGTACTTTGAAATAATGAAATAACATTTTTTACTGAAACAGGCCCATTTCCTGTGGAACAGTTCGATAAACCTTCATTTTCGGAAAGTAGGCACAATATCTATCTGAGAGTATGCTTGGGAAGTAACACTTACACTGTAAAAGTATGCGAAATTCTTGGAGCTCAAACTATTTTCGAAGTGTTCATCGGACTTCTCAGGAGACGGCGGCGGCGTAATCTTATAATTCTCCTTGTAATTGTGATGAATCTTCATGTAGCCCGAATACCTACCAGAGGCATCGATATCGGACAAGATCGCGTCTCTCAGAGACTTCGAAACTTGCCCCAATCGGTAGAGATCACCTTCAGACAACTCCCTCAGGATCTTCTTCATAATGATGTTATTGGAGACGATGCTCTTGAACAGTTCCTTCCGCGACAGCGAAAAGAGACGTTTTTTGGCAGGAGTTGCACTCCTATCGAGACTCCTGTCGAAGCTGTCTCTGAACTTTTGTGGCGTAAGAGGCTTCCTCACCGGTTCCAACGGAGGTAAATCGGGGTATAATATGTCTAGGGCTTCCTTGTTCAGAGGCGATTGGGTGTGTACGGTCACTTGCGCAAAGTTTTTGATGAAGCTGTTGGTGTTCGATTTTTTCAAGTTGTCCTGGACTTGCTTCTCGGGAGTGTTAGGAGCGGAGCAGAACCTTCTTTTGATATTGTTGGGTTTGAACAACTTTTTGAAGTGGCAGATTTTCTCCTCTTCTTCATATTGATTGGTTTCGGTAACATTTAACGATTCTGGAAAGGTATGGGAGCGATACTTGAATACCAGTTAAGTGTTTTTGTTTTGAGAAATAGTGTACGAAACTTCAACAATATAAGACATTTTATCCCTTTTATTAATTCCAAAAAACTAGTAAAAGTTTAAAGACTGGAGAAGTCTACTAACTCATACATTATCAATCCATACATAACATAATCAGTGTGAAACCAGTCAGGAGTTGAAGCCACGACTTCACCTAATATACCATCAATGGTCGTTCATTATTAATTTATATTCATGGCTGGTCATGAAATTACTAAAACCTCCATAATATGTCCGTGGATGAAACTATGTTCCATCCTTCCTTTGAGGGTCCTTAATAACCTGTATATCTCACAATAATTTGTCGGACATGAATTAACCACACAGGCTCCCCTTTTTCGAACTTCGAAAAAAAAATCATAACTTTTTCAAAATACACGTGGATGGAAGTTTATTTCTTTGAATGTGTTCCTCTAATGGTACTCGATAATGTGTATATCTCACAATTTTTCGTCGGGCAAGAATTAACCCCACAGGCCTTCTTTTTTGGAAATTGGAAAAAAAAATCATAACTTTTTCAAGATACACGATTACACGTAGATACTATGCTGAATATGTTATGTTTTTCCACGTGTATTTTGAGAAAGTTATGATATTTTTTCGTAATTCGAAAAAGGGGGGTCTGTGGGGTTAATTCTTGCCCGACAAAATATTGTGAGGTATACACATTATCAAGTACCATTAGATGAACTCATTCATAGAATAAAACTCCCACACACTTGTATTTTGAAGAAGTTATGATTTTTTTTTTCGAAATTCGAAAAAGGGGGGCCTGTGGGGTTAATTCTTGCCCGACAAAATATTGTGAGATGAACACATTATCAAGTACCATTAGAGAAACACATTCATTGAAAAAAACCTCCCATCCACGTGTATTTTGGAAGTTATAATTTTCCTTTCAAAATTCCAAAAAAGGGGACCTGTGGGGGTAATTCTTGCCCGACAAAATATTGTGAGATATACACATTTTCAAGTATCATTAGAGGAACACATTCATAGAAAACAACTCCCATCCACGTGTATTTTGAAAAAGTTATGATTTTTTGTCCAAATTCGAAAAAGCCCCCTGTGGGGTTAATTCTTGCCGAAAAATTATTGTGAGATATACACATTATCAAGTACCATCAGAGGAACACTTTCATTAAAAAAACCACCATCCACGTGTATTTTGAAAAAGTTATGATTTTTTTTTCCAAATTCCAAAAAAGGGGGCCTGTGGGGTTAATTCTTGATCGAAAAAATATAACACACTAACAAGTACTATTAGAAGAACACATTTATTGAGAAAAAAAAATCCACTTGTATTTTGAAAAAGTTATGATTTTTTATTTCGAAATTCCAAAAAAGGGGGCCTGTGGGGTTAATTCTTGACCGACAAAATACTGTGAGATAAACACATTATCGAGTACCATTTGAGGAACACATTCATAAAAAAAACTACCACCCACTTGTGAGATAAACGAGGACCCTCAGAGGAATACATTGATGGATAGTTCCATCCACGGAGATATTTTGGAGGTTTTAGTAATTTCATGGCCATCCATGAATATAAATTAATAATGAACGACCATTGGTGTTATGGTCGATGGCTATTCAAATCTCCCATCAGAACTATCCTGCTCTTTAAAAAATTGGCGCTGCGTGAAGTTAGTGCTTGAAATTAATGTTTACCATTTACATCTACGATTTGCTGGAAGCGAGGCTGGAACTATATAAAATTTCATTCAGGAACTCTAGAATGCTAACAAATCTACTAAGAACTTTTTTTTAAATCGGCGCTAACTTCACATGAGTCCGTTTTAGACATTTATTTACTGTCAATATGGACAATGATTTTGAATTCATTTGATTAGAATGAAAGTCCACTTGAAATTACTGGAAAAATATTGAAATTACTTTACTGCCCAATGACCAACTTTATCGCCGGTGTGAAGCCAGCAAGACTCCCGCGCCAGAAAGTAAAAAGATCGCTAAAAGCAGGCCGGGCTGAATAAATACGTGGAATATTAGAAATCTGTCATTTTGAAAATGAAAAAATGTCTTGCTATGGATTTTTATTTGTTGAAAATCACGTAACGTAGACGAAAGAAGAGAATCATTAGGCCTGTTCGTTTGTCCTTGCTCTACCTGCTGAACATGATTTTTTTCTATAATTTTCTTTGTTTACATCATCCCATGAACAGAGACAACTATGGAAAAAAAATCAACTTTAGCAAGATTAGCAATACAAACGAACTGGCCTATTATGTCTATTGATTTTGTCGCATCTATTTCACCCTGATAATGGCTATAAAATAAGAAATCTATCATTTTGAAGAAGGAAAAATGTCTTGCTATGAATTTTTTTTTGTCAAAAAACACGTCACGTAGACGCATCCATTTCACTCCTATTTCACTCCGATAGTAGCTGAAAAATCCATAGCAAGGCATTTTTCCTTTTTCAAAACGACAAATTTCCGATTTTTTAGCCATTATAGGGTCTACGTTTCGTGTTTTTTGATAAAAAAAATCTATAGCAAGACATTTTTTCATTTTCGATATGACAGATTTCTGATTCTATAGACATTATCGGGGTGAAATGGATGCGACAAAATCCGTAGACATGATGAATCTCTTTATTCGTCTACATTACGTGTTTTCTTGATGAAAAAAATCCATAGCAAGACATTTTTTCATTTTCAAATTGATAGATTTCTGATTTTTTAGCCATTATCGGGGTGAAATGAATGCGACAAAATCAGTAGACATGATGAATATCTTCTTTCGTCTACGTTACGTGTTTTTTGACAAGAAAAATCCATAGCAAGACATATTTTCTATTTCAAAATATAGTTATTTATTATACAAGGGAAAAAAGTAGTAGATTTTAGCTCCAGGTTGTGTTGTCTCCCGACGCGTAATATTTTTCCCGTGTATAATACACTATTTTTTTCTGTGACAGAAGAGAGGACGAATCAATATTGAGAAGATATTACATTATATCTGGAAATTATCGACGTGAAATTTCAAGTTTTTAACAGTAGGGACACCTGCGTTTTATAGGCATCTTTATCATTCTTTTGAAGTAATCAAATATCTGATGTCACTTCTGTCAGTTCAATTCTGTGATTTGATTTTAAAAAATTGCGAATTCAGTAGTTGTTTAGTAATATACGAAACCACGAAGTCGAATGGAAGATAAAAGGACTTGCAGTTCTTTCTCGGAGACGGTATTATTGACTCATTTTTCGGAACTATAGCACAACAAAAGCCATTAACAGAGTATATATATGTGATATATATCCTAGAAAAAAGTACTCACTTTTTTCCCACGGGAAAAAAGTAATTTATGAAAAGTGACATTTTATAACCTGCCAACAGAGATGAAATGCCAAACTTTTTTCCCGTCACAGAAAAAACAGATTTTTACACAGCAATGAAAAATGAAAATTATTTTCTCCCTATTGAAAAGGAATATTCTCAGATATATTTATGAACACAAAAAAATGGATATACAGGGTGTTTCAAAAAAACCTGACCCCCTTGCTAGGGTAGGTAGATCACTGCAAAATAAGTTGGGTTTGCTCAGTGAAAAAGTGTCTTAACGGCATCCGTTTCCATGATACAAGGTGTTGAAAAAATTACTTTTTTACACATTTTTCACGATTATGTCGAAACTACTGGAAACATTGTGATGAAATTTTGAACGGATGTTTCTTGAAATCTGACACATCGCATGAATTTGTTTTTATATCTGACTCTCATAGAGGGCGCTAGTTACACGGTTCGTACCGAGTAGTTTAGAACATAACTTTTTTGAGGTTAGATTTCCCAATCCAAATATGATATGAACTTAAACCTCATTCAATTTTACACCAAAAAGGAACTCTTGGTGAAACTCGATACTATGTTCCGTTTTCGGAATATTTTGATTTGAAAATATTGGAGTAGTATTGATGCTGGTATAAAATGAATTTTATTGAGTTCAATTACCTATTTATTCAGATTCAAAAACAATAGGATCATTCTTGTGCTGAAGTTATTGATGGAACAAAGAATCATAAGTAGAAAATTAAGAGATATTTGACAAGAAACATGAAATATTGAATCAGTTAGAGTATAAGTGTTCAAAATGTGCTACGTTTCGACGAATACACGATTCTATATTCTTTTCTTAAGAATGTATCATTCTTCTAAACAGTTGAGGATCAGGTGTTAGGTCATTTAAGTGATGTTCAATTATGTCTCACAACTCTCGACGTGAATTTACCTATGTAGCTTAGACTTTCTGCTCAAGATACAACAAAACTGTGTAATCCATGTTCTAAGTCAAATCTGTTTCGATGTTATTCTTGTGATTCATTGTTATATCAATAAGTTTAGCATCAGAAATGTATTGCTGTTTTCGGTTTTCAATAAATAGGTGATAATTTGTCATAATACTCGCTCTATTACATAGCTTTATACCAGCAACAGTTATCACTTGATCATTTTCAAATCGAAATATTTCGAAAACGGAACACAGTATCGAGTTTTACCAAGAGTACCTTTTTGGTGTGGAATTGAATGATGTTCAAGTTCACATCAAATTTGGATTGAAAAATCTAACCTCAAAAAAGTTATGTTCAAAACTACTCGGTACGAACCGTGTAACTAGCGCCCTCTATGAAAGTCAGATATAGAAACATCGGCATGCGATGTGTCAGATTCCAAGAAACATCCATACAAAATTTCATCACAATGTTGCCGGTAGTTTCGACATAATCTTAAAAAATGTGTAAAAAAATCATTTTTACAACACCTTGTATCTTGATAACGGATGCCGTAACGAAATTTTTTTACTGAGTAAACCCAACTTATTTTGCAGTGTTCTACCTACCCTAGTAAGGGGGTCAGGTTTTTTTGAAACACCCTGTATATATACAGGGTGATCCACGGTGGATGGCCTATTAGAAGTATCTGGAGAACGAGAAGACAGAACATTCTGAAAAATGAGATGCTCTGATAATTGAACATTATCTATCCATCTAAAATATTCTCATCGATACAGTGTTGCCACTTCTATCAGAAAAAACTAGCAACTTCGTTATTTTAAACGGAGCACCCTGTATTTTATTGCATTTTTAGATTCTTCCTGAAGAGCTGATCTCATCAATGCATCACACTTGGGGTCTAGCAGGAATCATTACAGAGATATTAGGTGTTCAAAGCATCCTAATTTTCAGAATGTTCTGTATTTTTGTTCTCCAGATACTTCTGATAGGCCATCCACCGTGAATCACCCTGTATAAAGAAATACATTGAGAATCCGCATTCTCCATGTGATGAAAATATTAATTCTGTCTGGGTTTATTCAACAGAAAACAACTACTTTAACACTGGCTATATGCCACGACGAACATTGAATTACATCTATTGAACACACATAATAAGAATTTGAAAAAAAATCTTCTGAAGTAGAGAATTTGCATTCTCCTTCATATAAAGATATGCACATAATATCATTCTGAATATTCAACAGAAAACAACTACTTTCCTGGCTATTTGCCACGTCGAACATTGAATTATATCTGTTGCATATCCAAAAAAAAGAGAGCATGAAAAATCAAAATCCTCTGAAATTGAGAATTGACATTATATCTCAAATCAAATAGAATAATATGATGTAATTGATGTATTATGATATAAAAATATAACTTACCGATATGCTCAGTATTGAAATGAAAATTGAAATGTATAGGAGAAGTATACTGATGAAAAATCACTCATGCACTAATTCAAAATGAATTCCTAATATTCCCTGTATTTATTTTGTCCGGCCTGCTTTTCGCGATTCGCACCAGTAACTTTATCGCCCGCCGGACTACTTTACCACCCGCTGTACTTTTTTATCACCCTAGGGCGCTAATGTGCTACTTTACGCTCACGAATTCAGGCGATTGAATAACACTTTACGCCTGGTCGTGCATACAAGCAATTCACGCCCGAAATACACCGCCCATATGGGGTTTATTCATAATTTTGAATTCCTTTAGCCAAATTATGGCTGCCACTGGTGAAGAAATATCAATTGGTAATACATAGTGTAATTACTTTACCGCCCGTCGACCATGAGATTCTATTGATATTTGAACTATTATGTTACATATAAAATAAATACAAATAATTTCTTTGAACTCACCATCGCTTTTCTGTAAAACATAGGAACATAACCTCACTTTTCTTATTTGTTTACAAAGGAATCAAAGGATTAAAATAGTTTTTCCCAATATTATGGTATATGAATGTTTTTTTGGGCTATTCATTAATTCAAGCATGCCATCGCATTGTGCTGTTGTACAATGCAATTAAAAATGCAGCCAGAGATGAAGAAATCCGATTTTTCAGGTAGGTTGTACATTGTGATTGTGATAAGCAGTGTTGCCAACATAGTGGATTTCACACTGGGACTGGTGGTTTGAGTTTTTGTGTTGTGACAAAATATGACATCTATTGGATGTGTTGGGAATTCTTCCAAATAAATGGTGAAATCTGGTGGTTGAGGACCTGCATCCATAATTCTCCTTGTTCAATAAAAAAATCTGATTTTAAGAGAAATACTGGTTGTTGTTTTTTATTTCTCATGTTTTATACCTTACATATACAAGTATGCCATTGATGCTATGAAGCATTAATTTTGTTCATCTTGTTTTCTGTTGAAAAAAAAAAAACACTTTTCACATTCATTTATATTTATATAGCATTAAGCTAAGATCTGTTGACCAGCTAGACTTCCATTATATCTATTATACTGTTATAGTGATCTAAACTGAAATTAAAACCACCAGATAATCACTAGATTTGCAAAGAACTCCGCCTGTGGTGCATTTTTTTTTTGATTGCATCAGGTTTGGTAGTTTTTTGGTGTTTTTCAGGTGGCCATTTTGTGACCTTTGGAAATCTGAGCTGGCAACACTGATCAAATAAGTAGTATAGTCACTCACATAGTTTTCATATTGAAATTTTGTCATTTCTCATTGGAATTTCTTCAGCAATAGGAGCTAATAGAAATACCCTTGAAGTTTCTAAAAGAAGGCAAGAACCAAGATTGGATTCATGCTATCAAATGGGAGGACTGGTCCATCATGCTGACAAAATATGATCCTGTGCATGTTGTAGACATTTTCACTCTATTAGCAGTATCAGTATTATAATTATAGTATTAGCTTCCATTCTATTGAATAAGAGGCAGAAGGAATCCTAATGAGAAATGACAAAATTTCATAATGAAAACATGTGAGATAACCATTTTTACCTGATAAATAATTATTATTTCTTATTTATTATCTCCCACTTCATTTTTTTGTGCCTTATACTACAGCACAACATGATGGCATGCTTGAATTAATGAATAGCCGAACACACACACACACACACAAACACAAAACACGCTTGGTATTTTCTACAATGTACCTTCTTTTTTGAGTCATGTTTAATCCAGTGTTTAATAATCTGAGAATATGAATAAGTACAAATATCACACTAAAATAATCACCAAGATTATGTGAATTACCCAAGATTATCCTTCATGAATGAATCCTCCTACCACAACTTCCAAAGAATGATCAGAATAATTTCTTTAGAAATATTAATGATCATCAGGCATTATGCATTAAATATCAAGACAAGTACCAAGACAAGTACAAATCACTAATGAAGATTTGTGTGCTATTTCCAAAATCCTGCATACTGCTAAAAATTATTGGTCATTTAATACAATATTGTTTTTCCAATTTCATCTGAACAGGATCTGTATCTCTACTATCTGTATACAATATAAATGAGAAATTTTGAACAAAATACTGGGCATATTACCTAAATCATCATGAATGGTGCTAACATCATTTTGAAGGTGGCAGTTCTCCAAATTGATCATCAGACTTTCATTCATGGTACTGGAAAATTGTGGGGTAGAAGGACAAAACTCAATAACTTCTGAAAGTTTTCTGCCATTATAGCTATCCAAGCAGGATGCTTTCCTCTTCCTCGAAACAGCAGCAGAAGTTGGAGTACTCTCATTTTCAATATTCGAATTTGGAGTACTTTCAAAAATTGAATAACAACCAGAATCTCCTGAATTCTGGTAAGACCGAGGAGTGTGACTATTCATCTTAAATGAATACATAATTTGTATATTTTGATAAATCAAAGCTTGTTCACTTACCTTCTGTGTATGGAATCTGATAAAACTGGATATAGGTATTATGAAAAAAACTTTAAAGCAAAAAATAAACTATTTAAAATAGGTACACAATAATGGCGCCAGATACTGAGGCTGAGGTCACCAATCACCATCACCTTGTATCATATTAAAACTGAAACGTACAACACACATAAAAATAGGAGCATAAAGGCCCTGTACGTTACGAAAAACATGATTCCAAGTGGATATCTTATAATTTTAACTTCAACATAAAAATTCTAGTTATTATATTGACAAAGACAAAAACAGAAAAAGCACAACAGCGACAGCGTCAACACTCAAAAGCACAGAACGTCAATATTGCCTGGCAGAGCCACCTTACACAGAATCAAGCACAGAATGCACAGAACACAGAAAAGAAGAATCTACCAGTGTTGCCAACCAGAAAATCACGAATGTAAATCACCACGAAAATTCCGTCATGCAATGCAATTTTGAATCGAACAATGCGCATGCTACTCATATGCTACTATGATATTTCACGGCAAGTTTTATGCAAGTTTCGTAATAGAACCAGTACTAAGTACTATTTTTCCTGCAATTTCAAGGCAAGTTTTGTAAAATGTTTAGCAATATTCATCGTAGCATCTTGATAAAATACAAATTTTCTCCATAACGTGGCCTGAAACTACGAAAGCGTAGAAGCGCCACATGATATATTTTTTTAATAATTGACAGATATAACTGTCAACTAGCCTAATAGACAGATACTAAGTCGTAAGTAGTATACTTGACAGATACTAAGTCGTAAGTAGCATACTTGACAGATACTAAGTGGTAAGTAGTATACTTGACAGATACTAAGTCGTAAGTAGCATACTTGACAGATACTAAGTGGTAAGTAGTATACTTGACAGATACTAAGTCGTAAGTAGCATACTTGACAGATACTAAGTGGTAAGTAGTATACTTGACAGATACTAAGTCGTAAGTAGCATACTTGATAGATACTAAGTGGTAAGTAGTATACTTGACAGATACTAAGTCGTAAGTAGCATACTTGACAGATACTAAGTGGTAAGTAGTATACTTGACAGATACTAAGTCGTAAGTAGCATACTTGACAGATACTAAGTGGTAAGTAGTATACTTGACAGATAGGCCAAGAAACTCGCCATCGCCAAGAAACAAAGAAGATTAAGAAGAAGAAGAATACAATGCCGACATAACCCTAACCCTAACCAACAACAATGGATTAGGGAGACAAGATAGGTTGAAAATCACTTCGGATTCGGAATCAGGACGTCCAATTTTTGCAAGACAATGTTTAAATTTATATATTAAATAACAATTTGCTCAATTCCCAACAATTTACTTCAGAATCAAAATCTGCACCATGTACACGGCCATTTCTGTACACAGGGAGTTTCTTAAGTACGTGTACAAAATTCAGAGCATATGTTGTTGACGTCAAAATAAAAAGAAAAGTTTTCATAAACCAAGTTATTTGTTTCTGAGATACAGAGTGTCAAAGTTTCATTATTTGTCATTCCGGTTTTTGGTGAATTCGAGTGAGATACCAAATTTATTCCCAAAAAAACAGGAATAAGATTCCTTTGAAACTCTGTATCTCAATAATGAATAACTTGCGGATATATATGTTTATACGAACTCTTCTTCTTATTTTGACGCCAGCAACATGCTCCTGATTTTTTTACACGTACTCAAGAACCACCCTGAATATTTACAGAGCTTCTACAGGGTTTATCATTGAAGATAGAAACAAACTTCAAATACAAAAGTTGTAGGGTGTGTTCTCAACATCCAGAAAATTGTACGAGGTGGAATATAAAGACCCAAAAATACCATAATATTTAGAGAAACCTAAATACGCGTATTTCAGCAACTAAATTGCCAACCTGTAAAGTAAAAATGATTAGCTAACTCCTTCGATTTATCTTTCGGATATTGTCCAGAGGTCGACCTGCAATATCCGAAAGATACTAAGGAGTCAGCCACTATGCGAGTCAGCTAATCATTTTTACTTTACAGGTCTGCTGAGGATGGCAACTTAGTTGCCAAAATACGTATTGTGGTATTTTTTGGTCTTTTTATTTTGTATTTTACCACTTATAACCAGTCTCCAAATCTTCACTGTACGAGGTGCTGATATAAGAAATGGGTACCAACTTGGTTATTTTAAATGGAACACCCTATACCTATTTTTCGAATGAATTGAGAATCCTCCTTTTCTGATTTCAAAAATATATAGGTTGTTGAGCCGGTTCAGCCGTTCATGAGGCCTTACGAGGTCGAACACTAAGAATTAGAAAAAAAAATGTCATACAAGCTTTTATGCGGTATTTTGTTGTATTGATATGTTACAGTTGAATCATCATTGATAAGTCGACTAGCTCTGAGCCGCAGTATCTGTCATATATGCTACTTACGACTTAGTATCTGTCAAGTATACTACTTACCACTTAGTATCTGTCAAGTATGCTACTTACGACTTAGTATCTGTCAAGTATACTACTTACCACTTAGTATCTGTCAAGTATGCTACTTACGACTTAGTATCTGTCAAGTATACTACTTACCACTTAGTATCTGTCAAGTATGCTACTTACGACTTAGTATCTGTCAAGTATACTACTTACCACTTAGTATCTGTCAAGTATGCTACTTACGACTTAGTATCTGTCAAGTATACTACTTACGACTTAGTATCTGTCTATTAGGCTAGTTGACAGTTATATCTGTCAATTATTAAAAAAATATATCATGTGGCGCTTCTACGCTTTCGTACCATATAACCTCAAAAAGTAGAATGAAGGCTCAAAAACCTGAAAATGGTGAATATGAACAAGAAAATATGACAGAAATATCTCAATGTACGGCGACTGACAATATATTGAGAAAATTGCGAGAAAATTGCATTGCCTCAAACTTGCCGAGGAATAGCATAATGTACGGTGCCCTTAAGCTTCGCCACGGTAGTGTTTTTTACATTTTCGATCTTCTCGATACACGTAGGTAGCACGTAGGGATGCACCGACTATGAAATCGATTCTTCAGAGATAGATTTTTTCTAAAAAAAAATCGATTATCTAATCGATTTTTCTGAAACATGCGATTGATCGAATCGATCTCGAACTTATTATGGTTATCCTGAGAAAATATTATAATTTATTTCCGCATGTTCCTTCGTTATTGGGAATTCATTATAATATTTCATCATTTCTTATAAAATTCTATACCTTTTCGTAGCATTCATGGTGATATTTCTCAAGTTATTTCGTATTGATACCTAATCTGGAATGAACAATTTTTTTTTTTAAATTTAGCGTGGCTTTTGAGGTGAATCGATGTTATAGAATCGATTCATTTTTGCATGGATCTTTTTTAAATCGATTTTTTTGTTCCGATTCGTATCGATTCAAAAATCTACACACCAGTAGCTCTGTCCATATTTGCTCTGTCCTGTCATTCTGTGAATCTGTGATCCTGTGCTTACTGCTTACTGTGCTCGCAATATTCATAAAATTAACAGAGTTGGCGTAGTAACATACTTTTTTTGTTTGAAATATTTTTGTTTTAATTTGTTGACATGTTGACAGTTGAATTTGTTTTTGAATATTGCTGTTTTCTATTCGTTCTGTTTCTATTTTAATTTTAAAATGCTTTCATAAGTATTTTATTAAGAATACTACTCAAACTACAGTTTTAGGAAGGCCTATATATTATTCTGCAATACAAAATAGAAGGTATGTTCTTTATAATATTCTGCTAGTTTTAGGTGGTCAAATTGATTATAATTAATTATTGAATGTCTTGTATTGTCGATCCACTTTTGAGGAGATTCCCATAAAAAAAACTGACCAAATATTGCTGATATTGTTCTACGGGTCCTTGGTTTATTTGAAAAAAATTATGTCTGTTTTTCATGACGTCACATTTGGCGCTACTGTTGGTTCGTTCTGATTGGTGTGAAAGGTTGTAAATGAGACGCCATTTTATATGGACGAATATTGGTTTGGGAGAGGAAATGTTTATTTTTTTAAAGAAGTAATTTGTGCTGAATAACCGAAGAAATTCTAATGAATGATAAGTTAACTAAAGGAGCAAGTGAATGTGTAAGTAATCATAAATGATACTAACATTTCCATTTCGATGTTACTGGGCATACCTAGATTGTCCTTATAGTCCCTGCAATAATATACTGCAATCCCTGTATTTTGATTCACTGACTCATACCACTTATTACTATTTACTTCATGCATAGTTTATCAACAATGCTAAGCTAGGTATGTTTATTCTTTAAAATGATCAGTTTTTGTAGAGCTGTATTCATCAAGATTTTATTTTTTTCATACTTTTGAAGCTAAATAACATAAATTATTGACTGTATATTGAATTGAACTTTCTCTCTAGTCAGCAGATTGAATTCTTTAATGATGCCAAGCCTTTCATTCTGAAAAACTGTTGACTGAGTTGACAAGTTCATACCTAATAAATTAGGACAATATAAGTGAAAAGTAGGTCACCCCCTTTTCCACTGAATTAGAAGATATCAGAAATCACAAGTTTTCTCATTGTTTCACACATCATACTTTGAATCTGTATTGATAAAATGGCAAATGAAGTGAATTTCATTTATTTGCAGACTACTAACCAGGTTTATCACAACCCCTAGTGAAATCAGGAAGTACAATAGTTGTGGAATAACAAGTGAAATAATGTCCCCTTTCCTAATTGATATTTGGAAAAAATTGTAGGTAGTTTTTGATAGTGAACGAATAACAAACAACTGACAATGTCAACATCAAGTCAAAATAATGGGAAGAAGAGTTCCAACAGCTCTATTGTCAACACACCTTCCAGTACTCCTGTCACACACATAGCCAATGGTAGTACACAGATGAATGTTCAAAATTCTCCTCCTCCAAACAATGCTCCTAAATATGGTAAGTCAATTTATATGTTATATAAATGATGATGAATGTTCAAAATTGCTCTCTTCAGCCACGTATGAACTTATATCATGAATGACAAGTGTCAGGCAACAGTGTCAAAATCAAATAACTTATCAGGTTACTTTATACTCCAAAAATTGTTACCCTCCCCTCAAAATGCAATTTAACAGTTTCAATCAATATATTGACGAATTATTTTTAATGAATCTGGTGAATGCTTTAGAAATCAATCAGATCTAGGAAATTGTGTATAGACTGATCTGAGGGCTGATCTATAATATTAAAGTCTGCATTGATACATACAGGAAATAATCAGAACAGCTAACAAAAAAATTCAGAAGAATGAGCTTCCTTTCAAACTGGGAAGTGAAATTGAATTTGAATAATTCATTGGGATTTTGTCATATTTAAAATTCTAGTTAGATTAATTCAGTTCATCAATCATGGTCTGTTTCAGGGAAAAATTTTATTTTTCATTACTTCAAAGTACTTACCCTTACTAGTGCACTGTCACAAATTGTTTTCTCCTCAAAGCTCTGTACATTTTTTGAATATTTATTGAAATCCATGGTATTTCATGACATGAAAAATGCAACCATAAACATACAAAAAGAGGTGAGGCGACATTTCATTCATAAAACACTATTAGTTTACAATCATACATAGCTCCAAAATTCCAAATGGCTCAAAAAAATGGGAACACTGTAAACTGTTCCTCAATGTTCATACTTTTCTTTATGCGTCAAGTAGGTTAAGTAAGGGGCAAGTCAATTTTACTACAATGACAATGGTATTATACTCCCTATTATACCTAATAACCTAATAGAAAATCAAAGGAAGGAAGGAAGGAATTCCTGAAGGACTTAGAGCGTTCCTTCCTTCCTTCCTTCCTTCCTTCCTTCCTTTGAAATAGTTCACTCCACTTTGAGCAATATGGACTTCTACCAAAGACTAATAGAAAATGTTTGGGTATGATTTTTTAATCTTTATACCAAATATTCGAAGTAACTTAAGGTACTTACCATATTTTGATTCATCCATTGTAATTCTATGAAAATACATGAAGTTTTTTGCAATAAGTTAGTTGAATATCCTGCCATAACTACACAAGAAACACCGCTGCTCAAGTTGAAAAAAGCAAAACCTAACTTACCAATTTTGCATTGAATGGGGGAATTTTTGTATAATCCATAATTTTATGTAATGAGGAAATTATTGAAATGTACATTATTTCAATAACTAAATTCACATAATTTCAATTAAGGAACAAACAGAATGTAAATACATAAAAACGTTTAATATACAAGGTGTATCTGAATCACACAGAAAAAATTCAAGAGGTGATTCCTTTTGATATTCTAGCAAATAAAGTTCATAATATAAACATGTGTCCTAACTTGCCTCCTTTTTTGAGATACAGGATGTTGAAGTTGGAAGCATTAATTGTTTTTATTTACAACCCCCTTGTATATGCTTTCTTGGTGCCAACATTCAGTATGATTGGAGACTGAGAAAGTCCCAAAATTTCAGAATGATTCTACTTGGGGTTATTGAGTAATCTCAATGGAAGTCTTGCCTACATTAAAATTTGGAGTCAAATCGAATTATCATTGTTTCCTCAAAAATTATGCTAGATACAAAAATTACAAAAAGAATAAAAATAATGTGTATGATAAATTGACATGCATCATACAGGATGTGGAAAGAAATTCTGAATGATATTATGTACATACCTTCAGATAGATAGATAGATCTTTATTTAATTAGGAATCCTAATATACATAATTAAATAAGAAGGCATATTAAAATACAATACAGAAATGAAAACTGAGTTGAACAATTGCAGAACAGAAATGTTAAAATGACTATAATGAAATACCTATGATGAAAGTAGAATAATAAGATTAAAAACAGTATATTATGTAACAATAAAGGGCAATATAAACGTAAAAAAGATGAAATACTAAATAGACATATGGAATACACCATGAAGACCTTACTTAGCTACTTATTTAGGACAAATTCCTTTATATGAAGGAGAATGCAAATTCTAATTCAATGTTCCCCATGGCATATAACCAGGAATGTAGTTGTTTTCTATTGAATAGGCCAAGAAAGAATTGATATTTTCATCACATGAAGAATACAAATTCTCAATGTATTTCTTCATAAATATATCCATTTTTTTATTTTCATAATTATATCTGAGAATATTCCTTTTCAATAAAAACGTTATTTCAATAGTTCAATCTAATAAAAATATGAAACTGTGACGCCACTGGAAATATTATTTCGAATTTAATTGCACCACAAGAACCCTCATATTACTATTAACAAAATCACAACTTATTATTGAAATTGATGAAAAGACAACTGAGTAAATAATAAAAAACGATTTTTCACGAAAATATTAGGAAGAATCAAGTTGGGTCACATTTTTATGTGAACTTTATTTCCTTAAATATCACTAGGAATCACCCATTGATTTTTTTGGTGTGATTCAGATACACCCTGTATAATTATTGTATGGTTTCTAAACAGGCTGTAGATCTAGGGCAATCCCCGGAAATTTGTCATCGTTTTCTGCTGAAAACAATGTTGGATCGGGACTATGATCGGGACAAAATGTAAATTTCGTCTCCTCTCTGTTTATATGTCTCTGCATGCAACCTTATACCCAAGTTATGACTTGGGTATCCATTCAATACCTCTGTAAGACAAACATGAATATTTCCGATTGTCATTTTCATCAACATATAATGTGAATTTTTTGGACTGAATACTTACTGCAGATAACAGAGGCAGAGAACACAACACACAACCAAAGATTCAGATAATCTAAGGATTATATTTGAATACTGAACTAGCTGACCCGATAGACGTTGTTTTGCTATACAGATTGTTCATTGAATTGTTTCATATAGGAGAATTAAGAAAGGATGGAATTTGACAACATTGTCAGCTACGGAGTATAGCGGTGAATCACTGTAGATGGCGCAGACGAAGGCAGATACTAGCGTTCGCCTAATCATTCTCATTGTGTTGGATGTCCTATATGTAGGGATCCGATAAATGACCTATATTCATTACTTCTAGAATAGTAATTTCCCTAACAAGTGCGAAAAGTGATACTTTCACGCACGCGAATATCGTTTACCGGGCAAGCAGTCGAGTGCGGGAAAGACACTTTCCGCATTAGTTAGGAACAATATTTTGTCTACAAGCGTAGGACATTGATTGATTTGTTCTATCAATTATTCCTGCAAATAGGAACAACTAACAATAGTGATATCTTCTAATAATTAGTGATATATCTATTGTGTGTACCGTTTCAAGTATTATGTAGGTAAGCTTATTGCAGAAGCCAGCATGCCCATGGTGTTTGGCGTCTAGGTTTCAGACATTTCTAGGAAATAAGCCAAAAATACTTATTCTTTATTTGGTTTTTTCACTTTTTTACTATTGCATCATTCAATTAATTCCCTGTAGTGCTTCTCATACCTACCATAAGACTTCGTTGGCAATAACTCATCTGCATCGCATCTGTAGCTGGTCCCCGATTCTCGACTTCAGTTGAATTCATTCCAACTGGTAAAGCTTCCCATGTTCGTATTCCCGTGGGAATCTTGAAGAGTATTCTCGACCACGATAGGAATGCTATTTCCCAGTGGAATTGAAAACACGGTATGTCGGTGATAGTTTATGTGCTCAACCAATCAGATATTGATATTTTCCAGGGATATTCTTGTTTTGATTAACAACGATCCAAAGATTTCAATTGGTAGTGGTGTATGCATGGTGAAATTTAGGGGGGTTTCTGGAAATTTTTTTTTTTTCATAAGGAAGCAATTATTCTCTATAATCATGGAAGAGAAAAAAAAGTGGACATATGTCTGAATCTCTAATTTGTACCTGAATAAATAGTTATTTAATTGTTTTTGAATTTCCTATAAGAACTCTAGTTAGTTTAGTTATTTACTATAAAAAATAAGTCAGATACAAAAATATACCATACATGTAGAAAGCTGCTCATCTATGAATTGGTTCAGTGTGTTTGTGTGTACATTCAAGAACAGCACAAGTATCAATTCATTCATTTCGATAAAAAATAATCAAACAGAATAATTCCAAATTATTTGACGTTGCCACCTCCTTCCTTCTTGTAAATCAGCATTGTCCATGTCTTGATCAACAATGAATCTATTATACAGTTCCATACTTACTTTAATTTTTTTGGCAGTGCTGATTCTCTGGAAGGACGTGCTAAAAAATTATCCAACTATGGATGAGATTCAGTGCTGAAGGTTTAGTTAATCTGAATAACTTTAAAAAATGTTTATCTGATAACAGATCAAATGGATCTCCATTTTGCAAATTTGTCCAAAAATCTCTTCCTTGGTTTCCGGCCATTTCTTCAGCCATTTCAAAAATGTCTTGTTGAACCAGAAGTATCAGCTCATCATGTTTAGATAGTTTGATAACATACTTTTTATATTATACCTAGTACAATGATAATTCCAACCTCAAACTGGACTAAAAACCCATTGGAATTTGAATTCGTGTGGAGAAACACTAAGTGAATATACCGGGTGACACAGGGTATCGGGCCATCCCTGTAACTTCTGCATTCGTCAACGGATTTTTCTGAAATTCGATACAGTTATATAAGCAATTATTTCGGATTCGATTACATTACAATCCAATATGGCGCACTTCCGGTATTTCTGGAAATGCCAGCAACTTTGTTTTTTCAAATGAAACACCCTGTATATTTTTACATATTCAAGTTCAACAGGTCGAAACAAGTGCAATCTCTATTTCAAATGTCATTTTTTCGAAAAAATTCAAATTAAAATTGTTTTCTCATCTTACCTCGTGGATAAATGAGATGTGGTCAAGACTATTCACAATGAGTCACACATAACAGAAAAACATAATTTTTTCTGAAAAATTATTTTTTGTGTCACTTATCCAGGAATCAATTCAGCCACATCACTTTTTGATAAAAAATTATTTTTTTTCAAATGGAACCCCTATGGGCCACCTACCCGTCTCTCTAGAACATACATTAAGGAACAAAATGACATATAATTTTTGTTTTTCGGTGCAGTAACAAATTGTATACATTCAAAAATCAACAACTAGTTTATGAATTTCCTTGCAGTTAGAATAATTTTTCAACTAGGTAGGCTGTGGAATAAATGACATTTGACATCAAGATTGCACTTGTTTTGACCTGTTGAACTTGAATTTGTAAAAATATACAGGGTGTTCCATTTGAAAAAACAAAATTGCTGGCATTTCCAGAAAAACCGGAAGTCTGCCATATTGGATTGTAATGTGATCAAATCCGAAATAGTTGCTTATATAACTGTACCGAATTTCAGAAAAATCCGTTGACGAATGCAGAAGTTACAGAGGTGGCCCGATAACCTGTGTCACCCGGTATACCACTGAAATTCATAGGACCACTTTCCAGCGACAAATGTCGAGAATACTAAATCATAATTCCTATGAGAATTTGATCACTTTTCCCATGGGAAAAACGTTGAGAATCGAGCTCCCTGGAAGTTTTTCATCCCAATTCCACTGAATCGAAAATGACAGTTACGCTCTGTCTGTCACTCTGCGAATTGAACTAACTAATTTGTGTTTTGATTGACATGACAACAATTATTGTTCGAAATAGTAGTAGTAGTAGAAAATATCGTTTCGGACTACAATCTGAAGAATACAAATTGAAATTTCGATCAAATAATAGAAATAATAAGCATCAAAGTGTCAAAAGCTTATGATTTGTTCAAGTAGGTAGGACGGATAGGGCAGGTTCCATATTATATTCATTCCCAGATAAAATGAGTTCTCTCGATCGCAGATAACTTTCTTCAATCGCCGCCCGCAATCAATGCTCCAAATATACATTGATCCAATTTCTTGATTTTAAACTCTAGAATTATGATTTTGAAATTATTCGGAGCCATCTGGCAAGGACATGAAGTTTGTCGTATTTGTAAACGTCATTCTGTTCCCACCAGAATGGAACGAATAAAATGCAAGTGGAAAGGACCCCGCACTGCATCAATGGGAAATCGGCTTTCGGTGAATTTGCTCGAATTTTCGATATAATGTAGAAATCGTGGTGCTGATCAAATGTCTCCATTGCACCAACGCTCTAAAATCAACAGTTTTCAAAAATTTTAGATAGAAATTGCGAGAGAAATTGTGAAGACATCTTTCATAATTTCAAAAACAAATCAACTGTGCATCAATTGATCGAATGACCGATACGAATCTACTATGAAGTATAATAATTCCTGCACGTACTAACAATATACAGGGTGGGTCGGAACAAATCGAATAATTCAGTGGTTTTCAGAAAAGTGGGCGGTGGACTTTCATTTAAATTCTGTAATATACAAATATCATCCCCAATTCGTGATATTAGCATCTCCTAATCAGACATATTATATACAAGATGTTTCATATTTGATGAAGTCACATCCATGTTAGGTACTTGACTTGAACAACCTATTGGGAAACTATTAGGAAACTCGTTCATTCCATGATCAATGTCCACTCCGCGAATACGTGAAATGACGGAGTGGATGAAAAATCAATGGTATTTGCTAATAACTTCTCAAGAATAGTATGTACGGATTCTTGTGATCCATTTTATTTGAATTAATCATTAATAATAAACAGTAATTGCTTGTCATAACATGAAAGTAATATACAATGTAAGGTACAGAACTTCTGTTGTGATTGAATATCAGAATATTTTGCTATCCATAATAATTGAATATTTATTGTTTCTTATTGTTGACTGTTTCACTATCACCTGAACAACCAATTATGATACCTGCAGTACGTTCTTACATATTATTCAAAATATTCTACATCGATTTGTGCAAATTATTTTTATTGAATAAAATGTCCTCATGACAAAATGGATCACAAGAATCTGTACATACTATTCTTGAGAAGTTATTAGCACAGACCATTGAGTTTTCATCCACTTTGTATATTCCAAGTATTTGCAGAGTATACATTCATCGTGGGATGAACGAGTTTCCCAATAGGTTGTTCAAGTTGTAAGTCATAATGAGGATGCCAATAATAAGTACCTAACATGGATGTGACTTCAAAAACAAAACATCTTGTATATAATGTGTCTGATTATGAGATGCTAATATCACGAATTGAGGATTATATTTGTATACTACAGAATTTGAATGAAATTCCACCGCCCACTTTTACGAAAACCACTGAATTATTCGATATGTTCCGACCCACCCTGTATATTGTTAGTACGTGCAGGAACTATTATACTACTATTAACGATCAACAATTTCTATCTAAAATTTTGGAAAATGCAACTTCATCACCCTATATAATCTCAACTGTTGATTTTAGAGCGTTGGTGCAATGAAGACATTTGATCAGCACCACGAGTTCTACAATATATCGAAAATTCGAGAAAATTCACCGAAAGCCAATTTCCCATTGATGCGGTGCGGTGTCCTTTGAACATACGACTAGGGGAAGAAATTGTTTGTCTGACTTCTGAAAGAATCGCGCCTGCGCAAGTCACAGTTTTAATTTGTCGTCAAGAGATAAGAGTTGGTCATCTCTTAGCGAATAGTTAATGAAAGATAAAATTCAATTTAGGTGCATAAATTCCATAATATTGCTTCTAGAGAGGTAAATGTTTTTGGGTAGGCAACTTGGAGCGAAGTCCCCCATTAAGAATCAATAATTCATATTTCGAAAAATTTTGGCAAATTAAAAATTGGCAAAAATTTCAGTGGTCCACTCGATTCTTTGAGCACTTTAATAGTCATTAGTCATCCGAAAAGTACTCAACATGCCTAAAGAAGTTGTCACTACTTCAAAAAGCCTATTATAATTCCTTTTGCAGGCACCCTGGTACCGAACAGAATCTTCGTGGGCGGCATATCGGCGAACACCACCGAAGGCGAGCTGATGCAGCTGTTCAGCAGCTACGGCACCGTCAAGGCGGCGAAGATCATCCAGGACAGGGCCGGCGTGTCCAAGGGGTACGGTTTCATCACCTTCGAGAGCGAGGACGACGCGAAGAGGCCGCTGCGGGAGGCCGAGAACATCGTGCTCAGAGAGAGGAAGTTGAACATTGCGCCGGCCATCAAGAAACAAGTTAGTATCATTGGTTTTTCGATGTATGATACATTGATATTCATCACACTGGACGTGGAAAGATATTCTGAATTGAGAAAACCAATTCATGAATCTGCGATTGAAGGTCTATAAAAATAACAATTTCCATCGTTCAAGTTTGAACCCCTTGATTGGGTGAAAGTATTGAAAAAGACTATTCTCAGATATAATTATTATGAACATAAAATATGGATATACATTGAGAATATGCATTCTGTATGTGATGAAAATATGAATTCTTTCTCGGTCTAAGCAACAGAAAACAATTACTTTCCTGGCTATATGCCACTATGAATATTGAATTACATCTATTGAACACACATGATAATAATTTGATAACAAAATCTTCTGAAGTAGAGAATTTGCATTCTCCTTCATATAAAGATATGTATATGCACATAATATCATTATGAATATTTTTCATGCTCTCGTTTTGGATGTTCAACAGATATAATATTTATATTTCAATTTCAACAAGCATCCAATGTATTTCAAAATTATCAATTCAATTTCAAATGCCTCAATTGAATTTCTCTCTCTCTCTCTTAGTTTGAGATTGTCTTATTTTTGCAAATAGCGGCAATGAAAAATCTGTTTTGACATTTGTGAAATAGACAGTTGTAGGAAATTGTTGACCCGGTTTGTGCGGTAAACTTCGAGGAAAATGGCTATTCGCGAGATTCACGAAGTGGGTGACGTCTGGGTTACATAATACGAACTTCAAACTGGGGGAAAACAAACTGTTGTCTATAGATAAAGTGGATAGACTACATTTCATACAGCTTGCTGTAGCTGCAGTTGTCAAACGCGAGATTCACGAAGTGGGCGACATCTAGGTTACATAATACGAACTTCAAACTGGGGGAAAACAAACTGTTGTCTATGGATAAACTGGATAGACTACATTTCATACAGCTTGCTGTAGCTGCAGTTGTCAAACTTGTCAATGACATAAAGTGTTGGCACTGTTGGTAGTGATGATGGTTGAGTTGGTTAATTTTTTTACATTATTACATTTTCATTAGTTTAGTGAACAGTGAACGGGTGAAGAATTGGAGATAGTTCAAACAATTCAAACTAATTATGACGATCAAATCAAAAAAGTACTGCTCAGTGCAATAATTATATTTCGGAAAGTGTGTCTATGCATTTTTTTTTCAAAAGATCCAAAGCTAGCACAACAATGGAGTATATCTTTGGAAATTTGATAACTTTTATACTGATCTGAATTGTTTCAAACCCGGTAATACTTTTGTAAGAGTTGAACAGTTCATCAACTCATTGAATGCAATAACTGAAATAAATAAATAAAATAAATAAAATGTTGTTATTCACCATTTCATGTATTATTTTTGTTTTGTATATTTCATCAATAAATCATCTTCAGAAAGAGTAAGTACCTGTCTCATTTGAAGCTATTTCAAATATTTAATGAACATTTTTGTTATTAATCTATTATGAATTAGTATTAAATTTTGAACAAATTGGATATACCAAACTATTGTATGAAGACACAACTTTGTGACTTTCACTATTAGATTTTCAATAACTGATACCTTGAAAATAAACCAATAGAAATACAAAATCATTTTATCGACAAAAAATATACATACATTATTAATTATTACTAAATGGGAAGAATTGATTGATGAATCCAACCTTTTGTTGAAGTCTTCTGCCTCACACAAAATCACATGATTAGCATGGAGAACTGCTTCTCCTTCCATTACTGGTCGGCTTTTTCCATCTAAATAGAGCAAAATATCTGCCAAAAAAACATCTACAACATGCATTATTAGCGTTTTCGATCGAATATGGACAATTAATGTCAAGACATTTTAAAACATCACTCTTATCAGTACACAGTACACAAGCTAATGGGATTGAGTTTGTTTTCCCCTAGTTTCGACGTGGCTTTTGACATTGAACGATGAAAACCGAGCGCCACCTGGTAACATTGATTCCCGCGAATAGTCTCCGTCTCCGCCTCCTGCCGCAATTCTCCGTAGCTGGCAATGCTGCCAAATGCCATCCTTTCTCCATGCTCCTATACATAATGCATTCTCTCTTTTACTGTCCAGCCTTTCAGCCGAGCCTTCGACGCTTCCAGTCCGACGGCGGTGGCGGCCGGCAATCCGGCCCCTTTTTTCTTTCCGCCTGGGGCGGCGGTGCCCTACTTCCAGGGCGGGGTGGCCTACTACCCGCAACCCAACCCCGCCGCTCCTGGCGATATGAACGGCCAGCAGCCTGTGTACCAACGTGAGTTTTTTTACTTCTTTGAGTCTCGCCGACGAGTTGATTCTGAAACCAACGACTTGACTTTACTGATTTCATTGATTGATTGTCTTTATTACCCCACGAAACTTAGTTGTTTATAATAGGGATACATTAACAATATACATAATGTTATACATACAATTATGTTATTTCTAATACATCTAAAAATACATAGGAAGTGTTTTTGATTTGGGTAGCACTCGGTCATTAGAAAAGGGCGGGGCGCTTGTTTTATTACAATCCATTCCTCGACTCGAAGCATTTCACTTCCTTAGTTGCCGCGTGTTCGTTATTGTTATTTCACAAACACTTGATTCCTATGCTTCATCCTGTACAATTACTTACAGTCTTCTATTGCACCTCTCAGAAGCTTTGGTTAGGAATGTAGCAAGTCTTTCTTCCACTTGTTAATCAGTGAACTCTTCGGTCAGTATGTTTTTCTTGCATACTTCCTAAATGGCCGAGTACTACCCAAACCATAAACACTTGGTTCCTATACCGCACCCTGTATATATACAAAGTTTCATGTTAATTGGTTTAGTAGTTTTTACGTGAAAGCATAACAAACAAACTTGAATTCACATTTATAATATTATTAGAAGATTTCAGACAAACTTTGATCGTCTAGGTCTAGACAGAACGCAGAATGCGTGACAATATTTGGTGCGTCCTGTGTCTGGAGCATTCCTGTATCCTTAGTTGCATAACGCACCGACTGCAAATGGAAATGGGACATGATATTATTGTTTTATTCAGGAAATAATCAATGAAATGATCTCAACAAATAATACAACTCGTTTATTGTTGATTATTGAAAATGCCTTCTCTTTTTCGAAACAAACTTTGTTGATTTAGGAAAACCAACTTGCGGTATGCTAAGTAACATAATTTGTTTATCAAAATCAACGGGATTTGTATTTTGATGATCACCAATACACTTGTTGTATTACAGAAGATAACCTGTTGAGTAGTTTTGACGTGAAAGTAAAACTTACATTCCCATTTATAATACAGGGTCTCTAGAAATGATCGTAACGTCGTAGTGGCTGTTGACATTTTTTTTTCCATTTGCTGCTTTCTACTAAAGCTGTTAACAACATTTAACGACCAAAAAAAGAGGAAGTCATCATATACAGGATCTTTTTTTTTATCGTTCTGCATACACTATGGAAATGTATCTCAAAGAAAGGAGAGTCCAATATTGGAGTTTGAAAAATAATGGAACAAATCAAAAATATTTATTAAAGAAGTAATAAATAACGGTTTATTTCATTAACCTACATCAAATGTTTAAAATGTTCTCCGTTGTTCGCCAAGCATTTCCGGGCAAATATTTTGGCAGCAATGTGTTATTGAGGCTTGTAGCTCTTCAAGGTTATTATTGTCTCTCTTGAATACTTTCTCTCAAATATCCAAAAAGGCAGAAATCCAAAGTCGTCAAATCTGGAGAACATGTTGGAGAAGAAGGATTAACTCCTCGACTTATCACACGGTTGTCATAAAATTCTTGTAAATATTCTAAATTTGTACGTGTGTTGTGGGCAGTGGCCCCATCTTGCTGAAAATCGTCAACTCGAATTTCTTCATCATCAAGTTGATTGATGAATGGTTCTAATCTCACCATTGATAGTGCCATCGAAGAAAATCGTTCCATATATTCGCCTACGGAAACTGCTAACCACACCCCAATTTTTTGAGAATGTAGTGGAGTCTCAACGAAATTGTGGGGATTCTCAGATCTCCAAAACCTAAAATTTTGTCAGTTCACGTATCCCGACAAATGAAACCAAGCCTCATCGCTGGAAAATGTTAGGTTCAATAGCTGGTCATCGTTGAGATTATTTTGGAACCATTGGCAGTACTCCAGACGACGTGGGATATCTATTGGCAGAAGTTGCTGTAGTACACTGGCACTGGTCTTGTAAGCGTGCATATGCAATCTCTTCATGAGCACTTTATGGCATGTACTTAGTGGCTCACCCGATTGTTACGATAATCTCTTCAATGACGTTTGGGGATTTTGCTCAACACACGCCCTTAGATTTTCGACAACTTCTTCCGATATTAGGGGCCTTCCTGTTGATTTCTTTTTATTAACGATTCCACTTTGGATGAATCTGTTGATCACTGTTCTGATGTGGGCTTTCAAAGAAGATTCTTGAATATGTACATTAGGATGTTTCGCCAGGTACACATCCCTTGCAGGCTTCTACCGAGTAACTCCATCCACCATTGATGAATGTGCCATTTCGACAATAAGACATTACAATAAATGTATTCTGCTCCGAGGAATAAATCATCCCTCTTTACAACACGACAATAACGAAGTAGAAAACAGAAACGTTTGAAAATTTTAACGAAGAACTGGCAATTGTGAGTTTATTAGCTATGACAATATAATGATTGATGTCAGAAATTAAATTCGAATGTGTGAATCTCCATAAATGAAAGGCGGCAAATGGAGAAAATATTTCAACGGCTACTACGATGTTACGATCATTTATAGAAACCCTGTATTAGTAGGGATAGGGATGCACAAATGAGATGTTCCCTCTCCTTTTAATATAGTGTAAGTCTTGGACGAACATATTGGTGAATCTTTCAGCTCCTGCAGTGTATCCGACACAAACCGGCCCACCCCAGACTGCCGCTTACCCTTCTATGATGTTCCCAGCACAGACTATCTACATGCCCCAGCAATATCCCATGCCTATGCCGGTGAGTGTTGTCTAATTTCGATAATCCGTTTATTTCGTGTGCCATAACTTACTCTGTTGTCCAGCTTTTGCCGATTAATGTATGACTTTTCGTGGGGGATATAGTGGGTTTAGTTCAGATGCGAGGAGGCTTCGTGTGTTTCCCAGCTATTTTCAGGGTGATTTGATATACAAAGTGGTCTCAAAGGTGGGGCATTTTTCTAAATAGGATGTAGAATTGATTGAAATAGACAAAATCACCAAAAAGTGACCATATAAAAGTCGAAAAATAATAATAAAACACTGATAGAATGGGTTTGTACACTCTAGTCGAATTTACGCCACATGCCAAATTTATATCGTTTATTCTGTGTATAAATAGTATTTGATGCAATATTTAAAACCATCACAAATATTTTACTTCAATAATTATAATCGGCACCTTCGAAATACGCCAGCTCTCGATGACGTCATACCCCTTCCAAATGTCATGGTTATCAAAACATGTCATATGAATTCTTGCTCTCGCATATCATAACCATATACAGTGTGTTACAATTTGGTCCACCCCACTGCTGTACCTACTTTTGTATGCTTAGGGTGATTTGTCATTTTTTCGGACTTTATGCTACTAAAAATTATCTACTTTTTCGAGCTAACAAAAATTATCAATCACAATTTTTTAGCCTATTGCAATCACAAAAACTCCTGCAAAATTGAAGAAAACGGATTACTATCTATTGATTGATATACTCTGCAACAAACTGGAGCATTATGGAATAAGGGGAGTTCAATTGCATTTGATCAAATCCTATCTCACTAATAGGAAACAGAGAACAGCGGAATATAATGATGCAGGTGTTCTGATAAAATCTAATGAAAAATCTGTTCTGAGGGGGGTACCGCAAGGCTCCATTTTGGGTCCCTTGTTGTACATTTTATATGTTAATGAGCTGCCGGGAGTAGTGGCACAGGAAATGGTTCTTTATGCAGATGATACATCTCTGATATTTCAAGAACAAACAAGATATGAATGTGAAAGACAAATTAAAGATGCATTAGAGAAACTCGAGACCTGGTTTACAGAAAACAATCTCCTTTTAAACATAAATAAAACTAAATTGATTTTCTTCAATAGAACAAGACATAATCTCCTAGTTCAGTTCAACAATCAAAACATATCATCGGAATCAAGTGTATCTTTTCTTGGGGTGATCTTGGATCAAAAACTGGATTGGTATGAGCACATAAATAATACAGCAAAAAATATGGCAAAATATAGCTATGCACTGAAGATTCTCTCAAATAATGTGGATGTCGACACGGCAATAATTGCTTATCACTCATTTGTGCACTCAAGAATGGCATATGGAATAATTTTTTGGGGAAATTCAACACATGTTAGTCATATATTAGGAATTCAAAAAAAGTGTCTGCGAAATATATTCGGAATGGGACCCAGAGTTAGTTGTAAAGATATTTTTATTAAAAAAGGTATTTTAACCGTAATCAGTCTGTACGTTTTAGAAGCTATCATGTTTGTAAAAAGAAACCCAGAACTTTTTGATGAGCATGTAATAAGTCATACCTATACCACAAGAAATAAACATGATCTAAGGGTAGATAAAACAAAATACAGTTATGTCCAGAAAAATGTGAAATTCTCTATAATGAAAATATGGAATAAAATTCCTATAACAATAAGGAACCTAGATGACAGACATATTAAAAAAAAGATGAAAACAATACTTGTCTCTAAAGCCTTTTATAGTCTGAATGAATTTTTCAATGAACATATACAGATTAATTGATTTATAACATCAAGATATAAATTCTGAATTTAATTATATACAAGTCGTTTTTATTTCTATTATCAGTATTGTTATTATTAGTATTGTTGTCATTATCATTATTGTTGTTATTATTAGTATTGTTATATATGGTGACATTTAGCTGTTCATTTCGTCTTCAATGATATGTATCCAAATGTAAGTGTAAAGATTCAAACATCTATGCATAAAATATGTACTTGTTTTGACATGTTCTACATCCTTTTATGTGGATTTTATGGAACCAATAAATTCCATCTATCTATCTATCTATCTATCTATCTATTGTAACCTCTAAAATCGTATCTGACAATCAGGCGCTACTAGGGAAATTGAAAAAAGACCAGAATTATTTACTCAAACCATTGTAATATAGAAAATAGAAAAGGACGAAAGTTCAGCTGTGTCCGAACTCCGATCTAACTAATACCATCTAAGCTATGGCATTGCCTTCTGGGGAGTCTGTAGAAAAACACTTTTTAAAGTAATTTTCACTCTATAAAAAAGAGCCGTTAGGTACCTGTGTAAAGCAAAATTTAGAGAATCTTGTCGGCCTTTGTTTGCACGTCAAGGTATTCTTACTCTCACTTCACTTTTCATTGTAGAATCAGTCAGCCTAATTCATAAAAATAAAATGAAATTAAAAAATAATTCAACAGAACATATAACTCGGCAACAAAATCATCTGAAATTACCTTTACCATCGACTACCCTGATCAAAGATTCGGTTATATATAATGGACTGAAGATGTATAACCACCTACCTACCTACGTAAAGGACATTAAAGATCATAAAATATTCAGGAAGAGTCTCAAACAGCTATTTGCGAAAAGGCTTAATATGAATTAAAGGAATATTATAGTGATGTGTATCAGTACTCATCTTAGAAATGTGAATCGTTATACCACATGATGATCCTTCTCATGCCATATTTTATAGACCGTTGGCCCATAACACTAGGGGTGTCGATTATCTACGAAGGTATGCCCTTCAAGAGACATGAAGATTGAGTTGGATTATCGGGAAAAAAGTGGTTAGTTGGATCGGTACCCGGTCGCCCATCTCCCTAATCAATCAACTTCCTGTTGAAAGTAATATTGAAAATAGTATTATAGAAGAAGCTTTAAAATTCATTGGAATAGTCGCATCTCGCCAAATTAACCGGGCGCTAGCCGATTTGCATACGTCTAGGTCGGTCCCGAAGGGCGGCATACGGACCGCAAGTTACCGTTAACCGACATTTCTCTTAGATTATTTACGATGGTATGCCCTTTGGTTAATTCCTTCATTTCGACCCATGAATCAATGCCATAACATTTGCATACAGTTTGGGTGGGCGAATTTAGACATATTCGAAGGTCACTTTACATCATCGATTATATATATCAAGATTATATAATTTTGTATGCCATTCAATCAGGTGATAGATTCAGTTATACTGAATAAGAAAATAGCGTTTGCATACGAATGTATTGTGAGCATACGTCGATTTTGCTATAGGGAGTCTATTTTTTTTTCAGTTTTTCTAATATTAAAAAGTTGAAACTGGAAATTCCAGGATGATCGAGTGCCAAGGGCTCTCAGGGAGGTTTCGGGGTCACTAAGCTCGAATCTGGCACCTACTACTAGTGCCGGGGGCCGGGGATGATAGAGGATGACTCTAGGGGGGATGACAGGGGGCGCATCTCATTTGCAGAATCGGCAGATAGTCTTGTTGGATTCTATGAATCTGATCCTCTTGGAGTTACAATGGGAGTTCCTAAAGGATCAATCTTGGATCCCATGTTTTTTGTCATTTTCATGAACGATATTGTAATATTCCCCTGAGAGGGGCTCGAACATCATCAAGAAGGCGTATAACGATCTTCCTGTATCACGCGTATCAGATTGTTCCCGAGTATCCCAATAATTCTAACATGAATCAGCATATTTTCGAACACCCAATATGTGTCGCAGCGACAGAAACATCTCAAAACAATCGATGGAACTATTAGAGAGAGAGAGAGAGAGATACTTTTCTATGAGAAGCTTCGAGAACAAAAGAAGGGTACCGATGATTTTCGGGAACATTCGACAAGCATATAGCCAGCCGAATCATCTGATATATAAGGACGACAGGACAGCAGGTGGTCAGTGATTGTCAGAGAGACAGCCATATACCGCGTGATATAAATGGTTCGACATAAATAGTAGTTATATGTTTGTTATAAATGAGTGTTCGTTCCCTTTCGTGAAATAAATCAGTTCGTAAATAAATGGTGGTGTTCGCTTCTGCACACAAATAACGTAACAATATTATACAGGGTTATTCACGATGAGTGCTAATTTTACTGGGCTAAATGTAATCCCCGCAACTCGCAAATCGTATGCAAATCATTATTCCATGCATAGTTTATGCTTAACTAACCTTGATCAAAATTTGAGAGCTTCGTAGATAATCTTGTACATACAGGTCAATGATGTAAAGTGACCTTCGAATAAGTCTAAATTCGCCCACTCAAACTGTATGCAAATGTTATGGCATTGATTCATGGGTCGAAATGAAGGAATTAACCAAAGGGCATACCATCGTAAATAATCTAAGAGAAATGTCGGTTAACGGTAACTTGCGGTCCGTATGCCGCCCTTCGGGACCGACCTAGACGTATGCAAATCGGCTAGCGCCCGGTTAATTTGGCGAGATGCGACTATTCCAATGAATTTTAAAGCTTCTTCTATAAAACAATTTTCAACATTACTTTCAACAGGAAGTTGATTGATTAGGGAGATGGGCGACCGGGGTACCGATCCAACTAACCACTTTTTTCCCGATAATCCAACTCAATCTTCATGTCTCTTGAAGGGCATACCTTCGTAGATAATCGACACCCCTAGTGTTATGGGCCAACGGTCTATTATCTTTCACATTGTTTCAAATTTCTATTATTGTATGTTACGTACTTATGTTTTATCTCTTTGTCTACAAGAGCTTCTTCTTCTGACAATAAAGAATATTCTGATTCTGATTCTGACTCTAATGGAGACAGAGGATCAGTTGGGTAATCACCGAACAGAAACTCGTGTGGCTAGGACCTTAATGAAATTCTTTTGAAATACATGAAATGTTGTTTATGTTCTGGTTCCCACGAAAATGGATATCCTGTAATGTTCAGAGAACATCGTGAGAACCAAGGGAAATAAGGTAGGAATTGG